GCGTTTTCAGTTCAGTCAGTGGCCCTGCCTGCAGCGGCTCCATCCCCGGTCCAGCCAGCATCACCACCTGCAGCGACCGTGCCACCAGTCCAGTCAGCGCCAGGTCCTGCGCCACCAGTCAAGTCAGCGCCAGGTCCTGCGCCACCAGTCCAGTCAGCGTCAGGTCCTGCGCCACCAGTCCAGTAACAGCCAGGTCCTGCACCACCAGTCCGGTCAGCGCCCGGTCCTGCGCCACCAGTCCTGTCAGCACCAGGTCCTGCGCCACCAGTCCTGTCAGCGCTCGGTCCTGTGCCACCAGTCCTGTCAGCACCCGGTCATGCGCCGCCAGTCCAGTCAGCGCCCGGTCATGCGCCGCCAGTCCAGTCAGCGCCCGGTTCTGCGCCGCCAGTCCAGTCAGCGCCCGGTTCTGCGCCGCCAGTCCAGTCAGCGCCAGGTCCTGCACCACCAGTCCAGTCAGTGCCAGGTCCTGCGCCACCAGTCCTGTCAGCACCCGGTCCTGCGCCGCCAGTCCAGTCAGCACCCGGTTCTGCGCCGCCAGTCCAGTCAGCGCCAGGTCCTGCGCAGCCAGTCCAGTCAGCGCCAGGTCCTGTGCAGCCAGTCCAGTCAGCGCTAGGTCCTGCATCGCCAGTCCAGTCAGCGCCAGGTCCTGCGTCGCCAGTCCAGTCAGCGCCAGGTCCTGCACCGCCAGACCAGTCAGCGCCTGGTCCTGCACCCCCAGTCCAGTCAGCGCCAGGTCCTGCGCCACCAGTCCAGTCAGTGCCATTTCCAGCGGTGGTCCCAGAGGTCGCTCCGCATCGGGCCCAGCCTGTCCAAGAGGCTCCGGCCCCGACCCAGCCCGTCAAGCCGTCAGCGCCACGTCGGACGGCGCCAGTCAAGGAAGCGGCCCCGTCTGCAGTGGCTCTGCCCGTCCAAGAAGCACTGCCTGCAGCGACTCCGCCTCCACTAAAGTCGACGCCTCAAGGTCCGGCGCCTCGCCCTAAGTCAACGCGTCCAGAAGTCAGCAACATGTCCGGCACCTCCAGTCCAGAAGTCAGCTCCATGTCCGGTTCCTCCAGCCGAGGCAGCGGCCTTGCCTGCAGTGGCGCCGGCTCTCCAAGAGGCTCCGCCTGCAGCAGATTTGTCTCCAGTCAAGACGGTGCCTCCCCCCACAGCAGATTCGCCTCCACTCAAGTCGGCGCCTCCAGCCCTGTCGACGCCTCCAGTCCTGTCGAAGCCACATCTGGCGGCTCCAGCCCAGTCAACAGTCCCGCCTCTAGGTCCGTCAGCACCCGGCGCCTCCAGTCCCATCTGCGAAAGGCCCGGTGTCTCCAACCAAGTCGTTGGCGCCTCTAATCCAGTCACCTCTACCTGCCGAGACTCCCCCTGCAGCGGCTCTGCCTCCAGTCACCGCCGGTCCTGCCCTCTGCCTCAGACGCCGGCTCCCCAGAGCCCGTCGCCGTCTCCTCCTCTACCTCAGACGCTGGCCCCCAGAGCCCGTCGCTGTCTCTTCCTCTGCCCCAGAAGCTGGCCCCCCAGACTCAGTTGCCGCCTCGTCCTCTGCCCCAGACGCCAGCCCCCCAGACTCAGTTGCTGCCTCCTCCTCTGCCCCAGACGCCAGCCCCCGGACTCTACTGGTCCCTGCCTCTTTTCCATTGGTCCCTTGGTTCCTCTCGGCCCTCCTTCCTGGTCCCCCTCCTCCCGCCCTGCTCTGGGTTCCTGTGGGCGTCTGGGATCCGCCCCTTTTTTTTTTGGGGGGGGGGGGGGGGGGGATACTGTCACACCCTGTCCTGTCTCCCCGTTCTGTTCAGTCATGTGTCCCTGTTAAATTACTCCCACCTGCCTCTCGTTTTCCAATCACCCAAGCTCCCAGCCCTCATGTTTTTAAACCCTCTCAGTTCTGTGTGTTTTGTCGGTTCATTGTTTCCATGTCCTGCATGCGTTTACCATTAAAAGACCTTTTACATGTTCCAGTTTGTCTGCCTGCCTGCTTCCTCCACAGCATTTGGATCCTCACAACCGCTCAACTCACCTGCACCGTGACATTGGGCAGGTTTCGAAAGAGGGTGGGGCTTTAGCAGTATGACAAATTTAGGCATCACACCATGGAATTACGTTTGGCTCTAATTTCATCAATTTACATCTCATCTGTGCGAAATGTAATGTGATTTATACTAATCCAACCCCAAACAGATAATTATACAAATTTTCCATAGGCATGGCCTATTTTTAATATAGTGCTCCCTAGGACCATCACAACAGTCAGCTCTATGTCATGCTTCAACTGAGGATTATGAAATTTGGTACACTCATGATGTGTTTTGAAACTTACAAAAAAGTCTCCTGAAACCAAGTTCCAAAACCATCAGGAAGTTGGCCATTTAGGTCAGATGATGCTATTTTGTTATTTTTACACAGATTATATTTTAACTAACTTGTCCTAGGGCTTTAGGCCTACGACCTAAAATTGATAAGCCATTGGGAATCAAAAGTTGTCTAAATAGTTTCAAAAGGACTAATGGTGTAGTTTGGGCTTAGTCTCAAATATTGATCTTTTGACTTTAAAGTCCTTGGTTTATTAAATTGCAGACACGATCAGAGCTATATCCAACTTGTGTGTCATCACAAATCTCAAGACAATGACAGTGTAATTTCCTGCCATTACCAAAGCCACTACCCCTGACAACAGGAAGTATATTGTTTTTCTCTAAAAGGCAAGCTATCCTATCCAATCCTGATACCATTTAAATTTAGTTATTGTCCCATAAATAAGTCTGAGATACTGACTCAGAAATGGAACCACAATTAGCCACCTCCTTTACATAGATGACATAAAACTGTAAATCGAGAGCGAGCGAGACATTGACTCACTGATCCACACCACCAGGATCTACAGCACTGATATTGGAATGTCATCTGGACTTGAGAAGTGTGGTCGAATGTTGACAAAAGAAGGGAAGGTAATACATACAGGAGGGGTCTCACTCCCAGAAGGAACAAAATCAGAAATTGAGGACAGCTACAAATTCCTTGGTGTCCAGCAAGCAAATTGCAACCTTGATGAGGCTGCAAGGAAATAAGCTACAACCAAATACTTCAAACAAATAAGGCAAGTCCTAAGAAATCAGCTCAAGGGCAAGAACAAGATTCAGGAAATAAACTGCTACGCCCTGCTAGTAATCAGATATCTGTCAGGAATAATGAGCTGGCCAAATAAAATAATACAGACCATAGATGTTAAGACACAAAAGCTCCTAACCATGCATGGACGATTCGACCCCAAATCCAGCACACTGAAATGGTACGCTAGCAGTAAGGAAGGAGTCAGAGGATTAGCTAGTGTGAGAGCTATGATCCAAGATAAAACAGCCACGATCTTTAAGTACATCGAGGATAAGACCCCTACGGATGACATGCTCAGTGAATGTCACAGACAATGGCAAACAGAAGAGCAGGTGCTGGAAATACTATTGTGGAAGGACACCCCTACATGTGATGTACCACCGACAGGACATAGGACAACTAAGACAAACAAAAACTGAGTTTTAGGTAGCATGAGGTTGAGGTTTCTGAACAGAAACATTAGTAGAAATGTTAGCTTTACCTACGCACTCTTCTGAATAAAGATTTCTGAAGTTTATCCTGGAATATGCCCGTCTCTCTCCGAGTTAAAATGGTCACAGGCCCAAGTGCTTGATTGACCATTGGTACTTCTGTGGCCTTGACTCCCCCAAAAAAACTCTATTTCCTCTTTGATTCCTTGATATTTTGAATGTTATATGTAAATGTGTATACTGGTCTCATAATGTTTAAATGTCCCCTTAAACCATGAAACAATCAGAATTGTATGTTTTTGTAAACAGACCTCATAAACCCTAATTGTCTCCATAGACCACCAGGTTGTCAAGTCCTCATAAGACTGTGGAAATTCATATGTGAAATGTATGTTTGTTCTGATATGTTTTTCTTGTTTTTGAAGTGAGACTTTTCTTCTATGGGTAAAATCCAAATTTTTGACATACTGTTCGTGTTCACCAGATGCAGGGAAAGGTGTGTCCTCATAAACCACCAAAAAGTCATAGTGGCTTCATAAAACAGCGTGTGTGTGTGTGTGTGTGTGCGCGCGCGTGCGTGCGTGCGTGTGTGTGTGTGTGTGTGTGTGTGTGTGTGTGACATGATGGTGACTCGAGTGCTTCCAACTCCAAACTGGACCAACAGCGCTGGTGCGGGGCGGCTCAGAAGCAAAACGAGAATATTGCCTCTGTTCCTGCTGCTGAGTTTCCATGGTCACCAACAGAAAACTCCCAGTCTCCATCCGAGCATCGGCACATGGACGCTCCACTCCTGAATCAGCTGATTGGATCAGGAGAGCTAGGCCTTCCGACGGGATTCGCTTTAACAAAAACATGCTGTCCTTTCAGTAATGACGCACACTGTCTAGTAACCTTCAAGTCAGAGGACTCCAAAGCACTTTACACTACAGTGTATCATTCATACACACACACACACACATACACACACACACACACACACACACACACACACACACACACACACACACACACACACACACACACACACACACACACACTAAACAGTGATAGCACTCAGGACTTACATGGAGTTCTGTCCTGAATGATGGGGACCATTCCTTCCCTCATCATTCTGTCCCTCCCTGCTCTAAGTCGGGATGGTTTTCCTTCACATCCGTTTATTCTTTCGTTTTCGCTCAGACTCTGATCCCCTCAGCCCCCACTGGTTTCACCTGGCTGGATGATGAGCAGTGTGGTGAAAATATTTGGAGAATTCCCTGTGACCAAACCCATGCTGCCATCTCTCCTCTCCTCGGGGAAAAGCTCTTCCCAAAAAAGGAAGGGTGTTTAAACTTCATGTGAGGAGGAGAGCTGCAGCTGAAAGGCCACGGCCTTATAAGGATGAAGTTTCCTTTCGCCCTCCTATTCCCCTGCCTCCACCCTCCTCCTGCCTCTCAGTAAACTAATGAAGTCATTTTCCTTTCTCCTCTTAGCATTTTGGGAGGGAGGTGCGTGTGAGGCATATACAAACTCAGTCTCAGCATCCACACTCGACTCACTCACCGCACCAGCGACCAGCTCAGAGCTTCACTCAGTGAGTATTCTCCTCCTTTCAATGCATGAGTCTGATCCCGGGGTTAAGATTTACCTGCATCCTAGTTCTAACAGGACTCAGTCTTTGCTGTTTTCACGTCTCATTTCTTCGGGTCACCTTTCACTAAAACCATAAGCTGGGTGACCATGTTGAATTTCTGAGGAAATTGAGAAAAGGACACAAACTTAGATCCTTAATAATGTTTGAAAAGTGGTTCTAAAACCAAAGAATTATCCGAGCGTCAGCTTTACTTCTACAGTTTCATTATGAGCTGTTTTGGGTGAAGCACGGCCTGCCTTTAGTTCCTGCGTGTTGAGATGTTTATGCAGACCAGGAAGAGGATCGGAGTGGTTCTGTTGCTTTATTGTTGCGTTTAATCTTTTCTGCACGTCTTTCTGCTACACAAAGACTTCCTCATGCAGACACACGTTAGGGTCTGCACCTGTGAATATGCTGATGAGCCAGCCCGTCCACCTGAAGCCATAGGTGGGAGGTGCAGCCGTAGTTATCTTTCCTGCCAGCATATCAACAAAACAGTTGTACCTCCCCACCCCCAAGAAGAAGAAAAAAAGACCACGCCTGTGCTGGACGGCCCTTCAGATCTGACAGGCAGCAGCTCAGAACTATCAGAGGCTTGGAAGCTCCCAGCAGCAGAGCGGCTTCGCAGAGCTCTGCCTGGCAGCAGCAGGGTCCTCCGGCACCGATCTGCAACAGACTCATAAAAACCCCTCATTAGTTGGTCAGCTGGAGAGCTGGAGAGCCTACATGACTCCATGTCCTAACAGTGGCCACAGCCCTCACACTGGTTTCCTGTTCTGGCATTAGGCATGTTCACCATGGTGACGGGAAAACAAAACACCTAAACACCAGGAAGGATTAATGTGAAAATTGGGGGAGTAGCATTTGTGGGAATCAGCAATTTGAGGGCTTTGAGATCAAAAGTCCTCTTCTTTGACCTTTCTGACGTCTGTTTTCATTACAGAAACCAGAGAGCACAAACATCTAGGCTATGCTTCCCCACTAATAGTCTGTTTATTTAAACTAATGCAAATAGTTGTGCTAGAGATGGCTGCTGACTTCATATCTGCAGAAGTCATTGTGGAGTTGTGTGATATGCAGTCAGACAGCACAGAGGCTTGTTGGGCAGATGACCTTAAGCCTGGGCCGGATGCCAAACGCAGCAGCGGGCCCCTGAGCCCTAACCTCCCCCAACCTCAGGTGGGAGTCATGCAACATCTTCTTCTTGGTAAATGGGGCGACGGTGGCACAGGAGTTAAGAGCTCGCCCCGTAATCGAAAGGTTGCAGGTTCGAGCCCCGTTCAGGCTGTCACTGCCGTGTCCTTGGGCAAGACACCTAACCCACCTTGCCTGCCTGGTGGTCGGAGGGACCGGCGGCGCCTGTGCTCGGCAGCCTCGCCTCTGTCAGCGCGCCCCAGGGCAGCTGTGGCTACATCGTAGCTCATCCCCACCAGTGTGTGAATGTGTGAATGTGTGTTGTGAAGCACCTTGGGGGGTTGTAGAAACCCAACAAGGCACCATAGACAGGACCAGTTATTGTGTCATTCCAGAGTTGACTGTGCTAATGACCTAATGATGAACATTAGTAGGGGTCTGGAGACGCAGAGAGAGTGGATTATGAATGAATGAGTGTGGGTGTTTAAACCTCTGAGGCCACAGAAAAGCAACAGAGAGAAAGCAGAAAGGATTCAGGAGGATTGGTGGTTGCACAAGGAGCACAAGAGCCCCATCATGTCTTTGGTTTTGCAGAACATCTAAATGGCATCGTGTCTTATGTACTGTTGCATGAGACCGGCACAACAACTGTGAAATATGTGTCTAAAGGTGTCATCTGCACTCCTGGTGTGAAGACCTGCTCCTCTCTTGGTTGGCCGATAATTCAGTCCCACAAAGACGAGTTGTATTAATTACTAATAATTGTGTAAAGCAGAAAAGAGCTCCTGGTTTTTATGCAGAGCTGTCTACAGGACACCTCACTGAGGTCAAAGTTCAACCTGTGTAATTCTAAAATGGATCACTAATGATCACTAACAGTTAGGTTTAAGGGAGGGGCTGTAAATATGACATGGTTATTAATATTATCATTTGTACATTAGTATTTCCTTACACTACATTACCACTAAGCTCACCCCGGACCATCAGTAACTGGTATTTTTCTTGGCACAGACATTAAAGGGTTACACTTAAGAAAAGAAAAGGCAGCAGCAGCTATAGCAACAGCATTAGCCCTGAACTACAGGTAGGCTGTGTTAGGCTATTCTGACTTTTACCTGCAGAATTACAGAGTAGCTCGCACAGAGAAGACAGGTGTTGCCAGGGCAACAAGTGTGGATGTGCCAGGAATGGGCCTGCTCCAGTCGGACCCCTGAGTTTAATCCTCCTCGTGTTGATTTTGAACCTCCTCAGGAACAGGAAGTTGACGTGACCTGACACCAAGATGGCTACAAAGGTTGGATGGTTCTGACAAAACTTTGATCTGCATTCTGCACCTGGCTGTTGGCCCAAAAGCAATAAGAACATAGTTGTAATAACTGGCAGTGTGTGTGTGTGTGTGTGTGTGTGTGTGTGTGTGTGCTTGCATCGCGTATGCATGTATGCGTGCATGTACTTGTGTGTGTGTGTTGCGTATGCATGCGTGTGTGTGCACGCGTCCATGTTTTATATGAGTGTGTGTGTGTGTTTGTATATGGGGGGGGGGGGGGGGCAGCAGTAGCTCAACAGGTTGAGCAGGTTGTCCAGTAATCGGAAGGTTGCGGGTTCGATCCCGACTCCGGACAGAGAATTCTGCTGTTGTGTCCTTGGGCAAGACACTTAACCCACGTTGCCTGCTGGTGGTGGTCGGAGGGACCGGTGGCGCCTGTGCTCGGCAGCCTCGCCTGTCAGTGCGCCCCAGGGCAGCTGTGGCTACATTGTAGCTCATCACCACCAGTGTGTGAATGGGTGTGTGAATGGATGAATGATACACTGTAGTGTAAAGTGCTTTGGAGTCCTTACTCTGAGAGGCGCTATACAAGTGCGGGTCATTTATCCTTATCATGTGTGTGTGTGTCCATGTTTTATATGAGTGTGTGTGTGTGTGTGTGTGTGTGTGTGTGTGTGTGTGTGTGTGTGCACGTGTCCGTGTTTGTATGAGTGTTTGTATATGAGCGAGTGTGTGTGTGTGTGTGTATATGTGTGTGTTTGTATATGAGCGAGTGTGTGTGTGTGTGTATATATGTGTGTGTGTGTGCACGTGTCTGTGTTTGTATGAGTGTTTGTATATGTGTGTGTTTGTATATGAGCGAGTGTGTGTGTATGTGTGTGTGTGTGTGTGTTTGTATATGTGTGTGTTTGTATATGAGCGAGTGTGTGTGTGTGTGTGTTTGTATATGAGCGAGTGTGTGTGTGTGTTTGTATATGTGTGTGTTTGTATATGAGCGAGTGTGTGTGTATGTGTGTGTGTGTGTGTGTGTGTGTTTGTATATGTGTGTGTTTGTATATGAGCGAGTGTGTGTGTATGTGTGTGTGTGTGTGTGTGTTTGTATATGTGTGTGTTTGTATATGAGCGAGTGTGTGTGTATGTGTGTGTGTGTGTTTGTATATGTGTGTGTTTGTATATGAGCGAGTGTGTGTGTGTGTTTGTATATGAGCGAGTGTGTGTATGTGTGTGTGTGTGTGTGTTTGTATATGTGTGTGTTTGTATATGAGCGAGTGTGTGTGTATGTGTGTGTGTGTGTGTGTTTGTATATGTGTGTGTTTGTATATGAGCGAGTGTGTGTGTATGTGTGTGTGTGTGTGTGTGTTTGTATATGTGTGTGTTTGTATATGAGCGAGTGTGTGTATGTGTGTGTGTGTGTGTGTGTGTGTGTTTGTATATGTGTGTGTTTGTATATGAGCGAGTGTGTGTGTGTGTGTTTGTATATGAGCGAGTGTGTGTGTATGTGTGTGTGTGTGTGTGTGTGTGTGTGTGTGTTTGTATATGAGCGAGTGTGTGTGTATGTGTGTGTGTGTGTGTGTTTGTATATGTGTGTGTTTGTATATGAGCGAGTGTGTGTGTATGTGTGTGTGTGTGTGTGTTTGTATATGTGTGTGTTTGTATATGAGCGAGTGTGTGTGTATGTGTGTGTGTGTGTGTGTTTGTATATGTGTGTGTTTGTATATGAGCGAGTGTGTGTATGTGTGTGTGTGTGTGTGTGTAGGGCTGGCTGTGCTCCCTCTGCACCTGGCCCAGCCCCTGACCCTCTCTGTGGGCTCTGGCGTTTCTGGGTGGAGTGCTTTAGGAGCCGTGACGCGGTGGGGAACACTCTTCAGGAATGGTTATTACTCTGAATGCTGAGCGTTAACACTCGAACACATGCTTCTGACCTGCATGTGGTCAGTGTTTGGGCTGGTGTATTTTGCCGCAGGTGTGTTATTAAGTTTGTGCCTTCACTGCAGGCTCAGTTATAATCAAACTTTTATTATTTTAATGTGTCAAATGCTTTGGAGACTAGAAATGTTACCATGTGTGCAAACACTTATGAGGGTTTTCTGCTCTTCTTGACCACAAAGCTCAAGTCAAGTTCACCCATCCACATGGAGCTCACCCGCCTGAGCCCAGAAACATGTTCCTGAAACCAACATTTAGCACTTCACCGGCTACATGATGTCATTATTCATGTCTAAAGTTGCTACATTTAGAACTTTATGTCCACGTTTCCTTATTTGGCATATAAATGGGTACATTTAGCCACATTTACTATTTTATTAGCTAACTTTAATACACGTATTAGTAAACACCACCTGTTAGCTTCAAATATTCACACTTGCACTGTTCATGCATTCAAGGCCAAAGGTGTCCTACTTAACTCTTCAACGTTACTGAATTACATAAAACAGAAGTTTGTATATTATTTGAAACTGTGCATGCGGCAGGAAATAGAGTAAAATTTTTATATATTACTTTACAATATTACTTTACAATCAGCACCCGATACATAAGCTATTATTGTTGTGGGTGGATAACAGAGAAACCATCCAGACAAACGAGAGCAATGTTTATGTTTATTTATTTGGCAGACGCTTTTATCCAAAGCAACGTACAACTGTTAACCTACAGGGCATGTTGGGATCTGGGGGGGAACCCACGCATGCAGGGGGAGAACACGCAACTCCACGCAGAAAGACCACAGCTGGGTTTCCAACCAACAACCTTCTTGCTGCGAAGCAACAGTGCTAACAACCGCGCCACCATGCAGCCCAGCTCATATCTGATCATAATCCTGCATGATCTGATTATGTCTCTTATTTGTCCTTTTGGTGTATTCCCATTGTCCTACCCACCTCCCTCTCCTCCCAGGGAGTCGGCATGGCTAACAAAGGTCCCTCCTACGGGCTGAGCCGGCAGGTTCAGGATAAGATTGACAGCAAATACGACCCTGAGCTGGAGCAGATTCTGGTGGAGTGGATCACCCGTCAGTGTGGATCTGGTGTCGGGAGGCCGGAGGCGGGAAAGCTGGGCTTCCAGACTTGGCTGAAAGATGGATGTGTGAGTGCACTGGTCCTTTTGGACACAACTCTTTCAGCAGAACGGGTCTCACAACCTTTTACTTCTCTGTCCTGTCAGGTTCTGAGTGAACTCATCAATAGTTTGTACGTGGGGGAGAAGCCTGTAAAGAAGATCCAGAGCTCCTCTATGGCCTTCAAGCAGATGGAGCAGATCTCACAGTTCCTCAACGCTGCAGAGAAGTATGGGGTCACCAAGACAGACATGTTCCAGACCGTGGACCTCTGGGAAGGTCAGGATGATTTCCTGTTGTTAGTAACTCTCCAGCTGTAGCTTCACTCTTCTTACTGACCCTTTCATCCAAGCAGGAAAGGACCTGGCAGCTGTGCAGAGGACCCTGTCAGCCCTGGGAAGCCTGGCTGTTACCAAGGATGACGGCACGTATAACGGAGACCCCAACTGGTTTTTCAAGTGAGTCTGATTAACCATTCAGGAAAAAACAACTTTGGGTTTCATACCTATGTGACGCTGAAAATATCATATTGCAGGAAAGCACAAGAGAACAAGCGGGATTTCAGCGACGAGCAGATAAAGGCGGGGAAAAACGTGATTGGCTTACAGATGGGATCCAACAAGGGAGCCAGTCAGGAGGGGATGAGCTACGGAAGACCCCGGCAGATCCTGTAAAACCACTGAGCTGCAGATGTGCTGCCCGAAGCATCAGACGCCCCAAACTGGTTCTCTACAAGCCCCAGTTTCCCCAGAATGGTCTTAATGCTAAACCAAACAAGCATAAAACAACTTCAGGGCCTGCAGGTGCAGTGATACCGATGACCCAATAATTCTCTCCGACATCCTAAAACGCGGTTCCTCACTCGAACGTTGTCTGAGACCAATGACGAACGTGTGTCTCTATTTTTGAAACATTAGATCTTGATTCCAAATTTATTCCAAGATGGTAGAAGATGAATGGAAGAAACCCAGCCAGAGCTACAGCTCCATTATCCCAGAGCTCATCCTCGTGCAGCAGTCTTTGTCCAACACATGTTGTACATTGTCCTCTTCAGTGAGTTTCAGATTATTTTTGATTCAGTTTTTTTGTCGTGTTTTTTATTGGCTGAAAAATCTCCAACAGTCTGTTTCAGATTTAAAAAAAAACGTTTCATGAGCTTAATAAAATACTTTGATCATGTTTGGGTGCAATTCCTTTTGATCTCATTGACCTTGCTGATGGTTGTCTTCCTCATGCTGGTCACCAGTCAGGCTCCTCTTTATACCAGTCACCTGTTGCTGTGGAAAGACCTCGCTCTCCTCCACCAGGTCTAACTGAAGTGGTCACTCCAAACCCGGTCCTTGAATGCAGCACGTATCCAGAATGCTTTAGCGGTTTTCCTGCTCTAAGCAATCTGATTCAATGATGACATCACCGGAGTTCTGTGTTGTCATCCATGAGGGAGTTAGGTCCCAGGCCCTGGCGACATGAGATGATCACTGGCTCTAGAATCTCTTTCTTGTGGATGAAAACAAAATAACTAACATGCAGGTCATGCAGATGTCATTTTATAAATCTCAACATCACAGCCACTCCAGAGGTCTTTCATGAACCTATGGACCATATTCATTTATTTATTTTACCCACATGAACTTTGTTTTATGTCAAAACATAAAAATGGAATCTGTCTTGTAGATTTCATTCAGTTTAAACTTCTAAAGTCTGGTCATTGAAATTTTCACATCAGCAACAGAAGAAAAATTGAACATGAAGTTATTCCAACAACTCATTTTATTTGCATCATGACCACCTGTGACTTTCACAGGAAAACACAGCTTTCATGCTCCGAAACGCGTCCTTATATCACAGGTTTAAAAAATCATGTCCTTAAAAATGTACAAAAGGCTAAACGCAGGTTTATACAGCACGTGTGTGCAGCAGGCACACAGCATTCATATATTATACTTTATAAAACAAGGAAGTTCCCACTTCAAATTTTCAACAGTAACTGCTTGATATCAAATAAAAACCCCAGTCAAGAAAAACATCCCCTAAAAAAACCAAAGCATGTGAAATGTCACATTTTGGGGACATTTCCATGGAAGACCTGGCCCCCTTCCCTTTTGCAGTGCACTCTCTCGACTCCACAGGTTTTCCTATAGTGATTTCTCCTTTGGGTGCAGGTTTAAAACCAGTGACCATGAAGCCCATGAACCCAGTTTTATCCCACAAGAGGCCAGATCCCCTCATGTTTCACTTTCTGTGAGATTGTGTTTAAAGGCAAGGTTCAAGGCCACGGTTTGAGGAACCCGATGGGAACCAAGCAGGAAGGTTTTGGGTCATGTTTCCAGCACTTTGAACTCTGAGTCCAGTACAGCCTGTAATTCCTCCCCTGAGTTCTGGTCCTCATTCCCCCCATTGTCCTCTGTCTCCTTACTAATCAGCACCTCCTCCACTCCTCTCCTTCCACGCCTGTTCCTGTAAGTGTCCCACCGCCTGGGCAGGCACAGGAGGCCTTTGAAGTTGGCCTGAGTCAGCGTGACCTCCAGAGTGTAGTAGAGGGACCAGAAGAGAGCAAAGCATCCCAGCAACAGCAGGAACTAGAGGGAGGAGAAAAAGGAGGTGCGTAAATACAGAAGGAGCTGGATGCTCAGGAGCACCGGAGAGCTAAACAGGAGGCTACATTCAGTGTTTTTAGCATTCAGGGTGAACAGCTGATGGAACTGATGTTTGGACCACTTGAGTGAAATCATAAGTATAAATAAGAATAAAAATAAGTCACACACACAGGGTATCTGCAGATTTAAGGCCACTTTGACCAAATTTAAGCTATTTTAAAAATTAAATCTAAGCGATAATTTCCAGCTGTTGCCTGGAGCCGGTGCTAACCACGTCGCGAATGTGGGATTAGCCATCCAGTTACCATTAAACTTGCCCTTCCCCATGGCGCAAGCTCCCACTAGCTTAACCAGCTAATGTGCTCATCTAAAAAAATAGCCCCCTTTCACAACCAACTGACTGCGTACGGTTCCGCTTACGCCAACATCGTACACAAAAAATGCTGAACACTAACTAGAGATTCACGAAATTTTTATAGAAATAAAGGAATCTTGTTTATTGGGTCTTTGGTCATTTAAGACCTTTGGAAACTTGATTTAAGGATTATTTGTCATTTTTAAGGACTTTTAAGGCCTTAAATTAGGAAAAGCTAATTTAAGACTTTTTAAGACTTTTTAAGGACCCGCGGATACCCTGCACACATACAGCGCTGAGCATAAATAAGTACACCCGCTTAAAGTACAAGTTTAATCAGCAGCTCAATGAACAAAAGAACAATTTCCAGAATGTTCCCAAGGCTGAATTTTACTGAACACTTGTTTAACTCCACAACATGAAATTATGGTTAGTATTAGAACTTACACTACCGGTCAAAAGTTTTAGAACGCCCCAATTTTTCCAGTTATTTATTGGAAATGATGCAGTTCAATGTCACATTGCACTCTGAAATAAAAGCATAGCGCAAATAGGCAATCAGAGTTAAAAAATCTACTTATAGGCCAAAATGTGTTCTAAACTTTTGACTCATTAAAGGAGCCACAGCTGAACACACTCGTGGCGTTCTTTCTACAACAGAATTAAAAGATATTTATTATGGTGTGCCACAAGGGTCAGTCCTCGGACCTAAACTGTTCATATTGTTTATTAATGACCTGGTAAATGTGTCGAATTTACTTGGCACAGTTTTATTTGCGGATGATACTACATTATTTTATTCAGGATTAAATATACATGAAGTAACTCAAGTGATAAACAGTGAATTGATTAAAGTTAAAAAATGGTTTGATATAAATAGACTGTCACTGAACCTGAACAAAACAAACTTTATACTGTTTAATAACAGAAGAAGCTGTGATGTATCTTTAATGATAGATGGAATGGAAATTCAAAGGGTAAAAGAAACCAAATTTCTTGGAGTCATGTTCGATGAGAGTCTCACGTGGAAATCACATGTAGGTTATATAAAGGGGAAAATTGCCAAAGCCATAGGGGTATTATATAGAGTCAAGTTTCTACTAAACTTGTCGGGGTTGTTAACATTGTATCACTCACTGATTGAACCATATTTATTCTATTGTTTAGAAATTTGGGGAGCCACTTGAAAAACTTTTACACAACCATTGTTCATTTTGCAAAAAAGAGCATTGAGAATCATTAATAACAGTAACTATAGAGATCACACTAATCAATTATTCATTAGATACAAAATACCGAAATTTCCTGACTTGGTAGAGTGGAAAATATTGCAAATAATGTACAGAGCGAATACGAGTAATCTACCAACTAATATTCAGAAAATGTTTCATAAGAGAGTAAGTGGGTACATGTTAAAAGGAACTGATGTCTTTGAGAAACCTAGATTCAGAACCAAAGTGAGGGAATGTAACATTTCTGTAAATGGTGTAAGATTGTGGAACGCCATTAACAAGGAATTTAAAGAATCAACTACACTTGCTATATTAAAAAAATGTATAAAATCTAATGTATTTAGTAATTATGAAAAGGAGAATTATAATGTCAAAGATTAGACATGAAAATATTAGAAAGTGACTGAGGTTACACTGTGTTTGTTTGGCGGATAATTTTATTTCGTAAAAAGGGGCAGAAATCATAAGATTTTTTCTTCTATCTGCTCCTTTTCATTAAAATGTTTTTTTCCCCAATATGTTAATGTATCCTGTATTTGTTTGTGTTTATTTTATACATTGTGAATGAAATAAAAGATTTAAAAAAAAAATCAAATATTCTTCAGAAAGTTCTTCCATGTCTGTTGCACAAATGTGTAGCACTTGTAGGTTGCTTTGCTTTTACTCTTTTGTCCGGTCAGTTTGCCCCCGTTTCTTTGTGGCTTTTGATGGTGAAGGAAACTGTACTCACTGACAACTTGACTTTATTTGCAATTTCTCTGTAGGAAAGACCTACATTTAAGCGTTATGATGGTCTGTCTCTCTCCCATTATTAATTGCCTTTTTCTCGCCATTTTTGTAGCAACTGTATCTGCAGTACAATACTGTTCAACTGATGCTCACGAGGGTATGGCACCACAGTATGCTCCAACACTGCTTTTATGCAGACAGAGGGGGTTGTAAGTAATCCTGAACAGTTGGAACATCTGTGGGAATTAGTAGCACCAGCTTTCATGGCTTGATCAACCTCCATTGCTGCAGAACAGCTGTGTTCCCTGAAAAAGGCCTTTCTGTAACATTCTAAAATGTACATTTTTTTCAGTTTTGAGTAACCGTACCTTTTTTTAACCTCTGGCAATTCACCGCTTAACTTTGTAACATTTCAGGCTATTCATTGGACTTGAATGACTAAAATTGCAATAGATAACTGGAAAAATTGGGGAGTTGTAAAACTTTGGAGCGGTAGCGTAGATCACAAAATATTTAGTTTTACTAAAATTAGTTGACGCAAAAATGAATACACCCCACAACAAAAAATACTACATCTACTATTTTGTATGACCAGTGTGATTTTCAAGAAAAGAAAGAAAACGATCTTTTCTATAGCACCTCTCAAGATATCACAAGGTGCTTAACAAAAAACAAAAATTTAAAATATAAAAAAGATTTCAAAAACTGATCAAAAACATGTTTAAAATAAGCAAAAATAGACAATTGTGATTTTAAAAAGTGCAAAGAGAGAGAGTGAATAGGAAAGAGGGAAGTCAGTGAATCCTGGGGAGAGCAGAATAAGGAGAGGGTGGTGATGAAGGTCATACAAAAGCCTGAACAGGTGAGTTTTCAGCTGCTTTTTGAAGGAGACCACTGAGTCCACTGATCTCAGGCTCAGGGGGAGAGAGTTCCAGAGTCTGGGGGCCACAGCAGCAAATGATCTGTCACCTTTGGTCTTTAGTCTGGTGCTGCACAACCAGTAGGCTTTGGTTACTGGACCTCAGGGACCTGCTGGGGGTGTAGGGACTAGGAAGATCACCAATGTAAGATGGTGCTTGTCCATGTAAGGCCCTATAGACCAGAACCAGGATCTTGAAATGAACCCTGAAGTTGACTGGCAGCCAGTGAAGCTGGAGGAGAAGCGGGGTGATGTGGGTGTGTTTGGAGGACTTGGTCAGAAGCCGAGCACAGGCGTTCTGAACCACCTGTAGACGGTTCAGGGAGGTTCTTCTCAGACACGTGAAAAGAGAGTTGCAGTAGTCTAAGCGTGAGGAGATGAAGGTGTGGAGAACTGTCTCAAGTTCAGAGCGGGACAGAATGGGACTCAGCTTAGCAACGTTCCTGAGATGGAAGAAGGAAGAGCCAACAAGAGAACTGACATGAGAATCCAGGGTGAGAGCCGGGTCAAAGGTCAGGCCAAGATTCCTGACAGAAGGTTTGGTGTGAGAAGCAAGCTGACAAAGAGAGTCTCTGACTTTGGGAACCAGCTTGTCTGGGGCACAGATGAGGATCTCAGTCTTATCTTCATTCAGCAGAAGAAAGCTCCCACCATCCAGGTTTTGATAGAGTCTAAGCAGGTGTGTAACAGCTGCAGCTTAGACATCTCATGAGGCTTAAAGGAGATGTACAGTTGTTTAGCCCTACCACAGTCCTAATGGGTGAGACCCCACGAGGAAAGTTGACCATTGAGCAGGGTCGATGGTTGATCCCTTTGGTCCACGTGGCAGGAGTGAGGCTTGAGCACCACCTCACCCCTGCCACATGGACCTCAAGGGATAAACCATTAATCCTGCTCAATGGTTAACTTTCCTCGCTGAGGTGGAGGAATCAGAAACTAAAGAAACACCTGGAGTTAGTAGAAGTAAATTAGCGGGATTAGATCCAGGGTGTTTATAAAAAACACTTATGGAGGGAACAGGAGGAGAAACCACTGAAGAATAAGGATAAACAGACATTAGAAAACGTGGACGGAGAAACCATGCTGTATCACGGCCTGATGGGAATGCGGAAGTGGCGCTCTGGTCGCCAAACAAAGGACAACAAGCTAAAAGATCATGCCTATGTTCACTAGAGGCGTGAAGGATGGATTCCTGCTCATTTACCCCTTTTCCTCTGACTTTTTCCTGGGATCAGATAAACATCGTTCAGGTAGGAATCAGCGTTTGGCTCCGGGTCAGTGCGCCTCTCACATAAACAAACAGGGGGGTAAATGATCGGTGCATCTTGGGCGATCGTGAACAACCGGAAGGACAAAAGAGTCTGGCAATCATAGGAGATGACAGCCCGGACACTACAGAAGACGACCGCAAGGCAGAAAGGAGGATGTTAGTAGAGAAAAGTTTGAAAAAGCGGCCGGTGACCACGGCTAAACCAAGCACAGGCGCCATCCTGTTACCGACCCAGAAGCAGAAGTGACAGCACCAAGTCTTCTAGGCATGAAATGACCAAGTTGGTGACATATTGCAACATCTATTATTTTTTCCATTCTTCAAGAAGAACCTCTTATAGAGCTTGGATGCTGGATGGAGAGTGATGCTCAACTTCCTGCTTCAGAATTTCCCACAGGTGTTGGATTAGGTTCAGGTCAGGAGACAGGCTCGGCCATCCAACCGCCTTCACCCCGTTCTTCTTCAGAAATGCAGCAGCTGCTTTAGATGTGTGTTCTGGATCATTGTCGTGTTGGAAAAGTGCACAACGACCACGTGCAAGGAGTGATAGCGACATCTTCTCTTTTAGTAAAGAGCAGAACATTGTTGAGGTCATGATACCATCAATGAAATGCAGCTCCCCAACAGCAGCAGCACTCATGCAGCCCACATGAGGACACTGCCACCACCACTTTTCACTGTAGGCGCCATGCATTTCTCTTGGACATCCTCACCTTTACGACGCCATACAGTTTTGAAACCATTAGTTCTAAAAACAGTGATCTTTGTCTCATCACTTCAGAGTCTAGAGTCTCGAGTCCCAGTAGTCCTCATCTCTTTCAGCATGGGCCCTAGCAAATCCTAGGTGTGCTTTTTTGTGCGTGGGCTTTAGGAGAGGCTTCCTTCATGGACAATACCCATGCATGATATTCCTCAGCAGTAGGGTTGGGCATCGTTTGATTTTGAACGATTCCGATTCGAATTCCAATTCCTCGTTTCGATTCCAGTTCCAATTGATTCCCGATTCAGATTCTTTGAAGACATGACATGTTTTACATGAGCCAGCTAACCACAGGTCCTACAGGTCCTCCTCTACGCTGCAGGAGTTAAAGTTTACATCACGGAGTAAAAGTTCGGCAGACGCGTTTGTTTATATCTGGGTGGGGGGAGGGGGGACTCGGTGCTGCACACAGACAGCTGGTGTGGTCAGCTCTGAAAAGCATTGATCATAATTTGCAGATCACGTTTATTTTTCACGGAGATCGGCCGCGGATTCCTCTTCCGTCGGCATTCTAGGAATCGAAACTAGGAATCGAAATAAAAAATGTTGAGCGATTCCGGGAAAAATGAACAGATGGAACTGGTTACAATTGATGCTTGATTCTCGATGCCCAACCCTACCGACGACCCTGCAGCCACAGCTTCGGGTGGCCGCTTCAACAATGGAGGCACGGAACAGGGTCGATTCAGACTCACTGCCTACCCAGGAACATTTGGGAAGTTCTGTCGGAGTTGGGAATTAAAGCTCCTTCTGACAAGAGACTCTGCCAGATGTTCCCAACAGACCCTCACAATACGTTTGAGCCTGCCTGGTCTGACCGGCATCCTTCCCCACCATCGGATCTAACTCACCACCAGGTAGTGGTCAGTTGACAGGTCCACCCCTCTCTTTACCCGAGTGTCCAAGACATGCGGCCGCAGGTCAGATGAAACAACAGGGTATCTGCAGGTTTAAGGGAGCCAAATTTAAGACTTTTTAAGACCTTTTTAAGGCCACTTTGACCAAATTTAAGCTATTTTTTAAAATTAAATTTAAGTTATAATTTCCAGCTATTACCTGGAACCGGTGTTAACCATGTCGTGAACGTGGGATTAGCCATCCAGTTACCATTAATGTTCCACTTCCCCATGGCGCAAGCTCCCACTAGCATGCTCCTCTAAAAATAGCCCCCTTTCACAACCAACCGTATGTGTACAGTTCCGCTTACGCCAACATCATACACAAAAAATCCTGAACTAACTAGAAATTCACGAAAATTTTATAGAAATAAAATAATCTTGTTTATTGGGTCTTTGGTAATTTAAGACCTTTGGAAACTGTATTTAAGGATTATTTGTCATTTTTAAGGATTTTTAAGGCCTTAAATTTGGAAAAGCAAATTTAAGACTTTTTAAGACTTTTTAAGGACCCACGGATACCCTGAACAACAACAACAAAGTCGATCATCGAGCTGCGGCCTAAGGTATCCTGGTGCCAAGAGCACATATGGACACCTGTATGTCTGAACATGGTGTTCATTATGGACAACCCATGACTGGCACAGAAGTCCAATAACAAAACACCACTCGAATTCAGATCGGGGGGCTGTTCCTCCCAACCACACCTCTCCAGGTCTCACTGTCGTTGCCCACGTGAGCGTTAAAGTCCCCCAGCAGAACGAGGGAGTCACCGGAAGGAGCGCTTTCCAGCACCCCCTCCAAGGTCTCCAAAAAGGATGGGTAGTCTGAACTGTAGTTTGGTGCATAAGCACAGACCACAGTCAGAACCCGTCCCCCCACATGTAGGCGGAGGGAGGCTACCCTCTCATTCACTGGGGTAAACCCCAACGTACAGGCACCAAGATGGGGGGCAACTAGTATGCCCACCCCTGGTCGGCACCTCTCAGTGGGAGCAACTCCAGAGTGGTAGAAAGTCCAACCCCTCTCAAAGAAACTGGTTCCAGAGCCAGAGCCATGCGTTGAGGTGAGTCCGACTATATCTAGTCGGAACCTCTCAACCTCACACACCAACTCAGGCTCCTTCCCCACCAGAGAGGTGACATTCCATGTGCCAAGAGCCAGCTTCTGTAGGCGAGGATCAGACCGCCAAGGTCCCCGCCCTCGACTACCACCCGTCACACACTGCCCCTGACCCCTTTGGCCCCTCCCACGAGTGGTGATCCCATGGGAAGGGGGATCCATGTTTCCTCTTTGGGCTGTGCCACTTCCATTTAGCTTGCATTTTATTAAAAATAACCTTCAGCTTTATTCATTTTATGAGTAAAATAGTTTTGCAGTGTTTGGAAAAACAATCATAAAAAAACAATTACTTGAAAGGTTTTGTATTAACAAATGAATTAAGTTTTGTATTGTCGTTCAATAGTTTTTGGAAGTATTTGTTCATTTTTGACAAAATTGTTTAACAAAATGAAAACTGACATTGCTGCTTAGGTTGTGGGCAGGGCACAAGGTCAGACACTGAACAGGAACAGGTTAGTTGTTACCGATGCATTAAAAAATGTTAAATCATTCACACAAATCAGATTTGTATTTCATTATCTGAAAGCATCGGACTAGTTAATAAACAAAATGTTTAGCTTGATTTTCAGAATGTCACTAGCTTCTTAATTTCTTTATATTATTGATGTATTTAAATACAGAAAAATCAACTTGTGAATACAATGCATGTAAATATAATAAGCATAGCATTTTTAACGTAGTCAGCATACTCACACATGGAAAGTAGCAATGTGAATGAATTGTATGGCGGTAGTTCTTCAGTACTTTCATCGTGTAATCAGCATGTAAATATAAATGTCTGAGCCTATTGTGACCGAACAAGGAAATACAGTCTTTACTTCATCAGGGGCTCTTTAAAACGTCTTCATGACTAGTGTTAATGCTGCAAACATTTCGATGGTCTGAGTGAACGAGCTGTTTTTACCTTCAGGTTGCTGGAGGTGAAGGGGCTGATGATCTCTGGAGGGATGTCCAAGCCTGGGGGACAGTGCAGAGAGAAGCTGCTGTTCAAATATTTACCATCCATCGCTTCCTCCACCAGCCTGGAGATAACAAACATAACATCAGCCTTCACAGCTTCCTCTGAGGACTCCACCGTTACTGCTGCATTTGCCTCTCAGTTTAACCCTCTGGGGTCCATGGGGTCCGCGTCTTTTGATCAGGTCTGATTTGGGACGCTGTAGCAGCAAGACTCCGCCTCCCTGAGTTTCGGTTGCAATTCAGCTTTAAAAAGGAGATTATAAACTACACCCCAGTTTTTAAATTGTGTTAATAGGCAACGTAAAAGTGGAGTTATACTAAACTAAAAAACGACCTATTTATAGACAATCTGATAACTTGTCAAAACAGCAGTTTAGTAATCCGTGAGCGGGAACGTGCTTGTGAACATAAAAACCCACAAAAACATGAGATCCTGTTGCTGTTGGTGGAAGCCTCACATATTCAATTGATAAAAAGTATCATTATGTAGCTGAGAGAGAGAGGAAGGCTGCACGAGTAACGAGATGTGCGAAAAAAGGAGCCGCTTCACGGGGAAAGGAGTGGCGCGAACAGAGTAACAACAAACAATTAGACAGATATTGACGGTAAACTTCACATTTTGGAGCGATCCGGACAGATATATTGTCTCTGCAGTTTAGTAGGCTTGTATTAGGCTTTAATAAAGGATGATGAGAAGGATAAATGTCCACCAGCCAGTTCAGATAGTACGGCTGTTTTTTGAACTGGAAGAAGAGGAAGTGGGCGGAGACTCACAGCCGGAGTCTGAGGCAAAAAGCGAGGATGTTGATGACGATGTGGCAGATCCATCCATGCTCATAGAAGAGTTGGGTCATGATGAGGTGGAGGATGAAGGCAGAGATGCAGCTCCTCGGAGATCCAACAAGAGGAGTGGGCGGCGCCGCGCAGCTGCAGATCTCGGCGTGAGACAGAGCCACTCCCCACTTCAAAATGCTTGTACATTATTGCCAAATTAATAAAATAAGTATAAATTCAGATAGTCCAGGTGTCCTGAAAAAAATGATCCCCATAAGGCAATATTTATTGTTTTTATTAGAAAATACAAACGAAAAACCAAAATGAGTCAAAAACAGTGATTTACACCCTGGACCCCAGAGGGCTAATACATTTATTTTTTATTTGTTATTTGCTATATTTATTCATATTTTTTTTATAAACATACAGTCTAGAATACCATTATAAATTATAGAAAACATTCATCATAAATGTTTGTTGGTTTCACAGTAAAATAAGCAACTTTTTCAATTCAGATTTTATGTTTTTGAGTGATTTAAGGTCTAATATGCAACCCCTTTATGTCCAAATGTAAAAAATAAGTATAAATTCATAAAGTCCAGGTTGTGCTGAAAAGATTGATACCATATAAGGCAGTGGTTATGGTTTTTATTTTGGAAATACAAAGGGAAACTCTAAATTAGTCAAAAACGGCAAAGTACACCCTGGACCCCAGAGGGTTAAGTAAGGACTTACTTTTGTCGGTTTTTGACATCACTGTAAGCCATGGATGAACCGTACAGCGTCAGCTTCCACTGCTTGAGCCTTCCAACAGCATTACACGGCGGCGAGGCTTCACCTACAGAAACATGTTGGGTCAGGAATGGAGCTTCACACACATGCAGACACTAACACCCACATGCATTGGCAGAAAAAAAGACTCATGTGCATGCATGTGTGTGTGTGTGAAGCAGCATCTTACAGTGGTCTGATATCTTGAGGGTGTACTGGCCTTCTGCTTTCTCTCCCCAGCAACGTACAGTGGAGAATGTCCAGTCCTGATAACCTGAAGCATCTCTTTAAACATGAAACATTTCAGTATACAGTCAGGTCCATAAATACTGGGACATCTACACAATGCTAACATGTTTGGCTCTATACACCACCACAATGGACATCAAATGAAACCAACAAGATGTGCTTTAACTGCAGACTGTCAGCTTTTTTTGAGGGTATTTACATCCAAATCAGGTGAACGGTGTAGGAATTACAACAGTTTGCATATGTGCCTCCCACTTGTTAAGGGACCAAAAGTAATGGGACAGAATAAGAACCATAAATCAAACTTATACTTTAATACTTGGTTGCAAATCCTTTGCAGTCAATTACAGCCTGAAGTCTGGAACACGTAGACATCACCAGATGTTGGGTGTCATCCCTGGTGATGCTCTGTCAGGCCACTGACCTTCAGAAACTCTTTGGTTGCTTTTGCAGTATGCTTTGGGTCATTGTCCATCTGCACTGTGAAGCGCCGTCCAATGAGTTCTGAGGCATTTGGCTGAATATGAGCAGATAATATTGCCCGAAACACGTCAGAATTCATCGTGCTGCTTTTGTCAGCAGTCACATCATCAATAAATACAAGAGAACCAGTTCCACTGGGCACCATGCCCCCTCGACATCTTAAGAACGCTGTAATCCACCCGCTTCTTAGAAAACCGAGTCTTGACCCCTCTCTCCATAGCAGCTTCAGACCCATCTCTAAACTTCCGTTCATCTCCAAGATCTTGGAAAAGGTTGTGGCTAAACAACTCACAGCTGCTCTTGATGAACATAACATCTATGATAGCTTCTAGTCAGGTTTTCGTAGAGCTCATTCTACTGAAACAGCTCTTCTTAGGGTCTCTAAGGACCTTCTGACTCACAGTGATGCAGGGGACTGTTCTGTTCTGGTCCTGCTGGACCTGACTGCAGCCTTTGACACTGTTGACCATCACCTGCTACTGGAGAGTTTGAGAGACTGGGTAGGCCTATCAGGATCTGTTCTGGAGTGGTTCTCCTCTTATCTCTCCCTTAGCAGTATTTCCATTTTCGGTCATGACATTCCCCTTTCCCTACTGTAACAAATCTTGGTATCAGACTAGATTCAAATCTTACATTTGACACCCACATCCACCACCTCTGCAAGGTCTCTTTTCTCCACCTCAAAAACATTGCTAAACTCCGTCGCTCTCTTTCCCAGCCAGATGCAGAGAAGTTGGTCCATGCATTTATCTCCTCCAGGTTGGACTATTGCAATGCCCTCCTCGTTGGGGCCCCCGGCAAGAGCATACAAAAGCTCCAGCACACCCAGAACTCAGCTGCCCGGGTCCTGATGAGGAGACACAAATACGATCATATCACTCCAGTTCTGAGATCACTTCATTGGCTGCCCATCCAATATCGAGTTCAGTACAAAATTGGCCTTCTTACTCACCAGTGCATCCATGGAACTGCTCCTGCCTATCTGAGCGAACTTCTCATCCCACACACTGCCACAAGAACCCTCCGATCTACCACCTCTTCACACCGCCTGCACCAACCACTGACTAAACTCTCCACTATGGGAGACAGGTCCTTCAAGGCAGTGGCCCCTCAATTTTGGAATTCTCTCCCAGAGTTTCTAAGGGCCACACAATCTGTGGAGCTTTTCAAAAAAGGCCTCAAGACCTTTTTGTTTAATAAGGCTTTCTAGTGCACAATGACCTATTGAGTGTTTTACTTTATTGTGTTGTTTTTACTTATTGTTTGTATCTACTGTAATGACTTTTTAGATGGGTTTTATCTATTTCTGGGGACTGCTTTTATTTTCCATACTTGATAGTATCCTGAAATTTTAACTGTTTTTAATTAGCTGTGTACCTTATACCTGTCCCCTATACTCTGTAACACTTTGAGATTACTTCTGTAATGTAAAGTGCATTATAAATAAAATGTATTATTATTATTATCTCTCTGAGCGCTCCTTTTCTGTGGCCGTCTCCAAGTTTAGGTCCTCCACCACCTCTCTTTCCCATGGTGTCCCACAAGGTTCTGTGCTGGGGCCTCTGCTCTTCCTCCTCTATCTGCTTCCTCTTCAGCACATCCTGAGCTCCTTCAAAGGAATCTCCTACCATCTTTATGCAGATGACATCCAACTGTACATCTCCTTTAAGCCCCATGTCTAAGCTGCAGCTGTTACACACCTGCTTACTCTATCAAAACCTGGATGGTGGGAGCTTTCTTCAGCTGAATGAAGATAAGACTGAGATCCTCATCTGTGCCCCAGACAAGCTGGTTACCAAAGTCAGAGACTCTCTTGGTCAGCTTGCTTCTCACACCAAACCTTCTGTCAGGAATCTTGGTGTGACCTTTGACCGGGCTCTCACCCCAGATTCTCATGTCAGTTCTCTTGTTCGCTCTTCCTTCTTCCATCTCGGGAACGTTGCTAAGCTGAGTCCCATTCTGTTTCGCTCTGAACTTGAGACAGTTCTCCACACCTTCATCTCCTCACACTTAGACTACTGTAACTCTCTTTTCACGTGTCTGAGCAGAACCTCCCTGAACCGTCTACAGGTGGTTCAGAATGCCTGTGCTTGGCTTCTGACCAAGTCCTCCAAACACCCACATCACCCCGCTTCTCCTCCAGCTTCACTGGCTGCCAGTCAGCTTCAGGGTTCATTTCAAGATCCTGGTTCTGGTCTATAGGGCCTTACATGGACAAGCACCATCTTACAATGGTGATCTTCTTAGTCCCTACACCCCCAGCAGGTCCCTGAGGTCCAGTGACCAAAGCCTACTGGTTGTGCAGCACCAGGCTAAAGACCAAAGGTGACAGATCATCTGCTGCTGTGGCCCCCAGACTCTGGAACTCTTTCCCCCTGAGCCTGAGATCAGTGGACTCAGTGGTCTCCTTTAAAAAGCAGCTGAAGACTCACTTGTTCAAGCTGGCTTTTGTATGACCTTCTTCACCACTCTCTCTTTACTCTGCTCTCCCCACATATTCCACCTTCCTCAGGATCCACTGATTTCCCTCTTTCCTATTCACTCTCTCTCTTTCTTAATCTTTGTTTAATCACAATTGTCCATTTTTGCTCATTATATATATATTTTTAAACATTTTCTAAATGCTTTTTATATTTTTACATTTTTTGTTTTTGTGAAGCGCCTCGTGATTTTTATCTTGAGAGGCGCTATAGAAATGATATTTTTTTCTTCTTCTTCTTCATTGGCAGCCATACATGCCCACGCCATGACACTTCCAGCACCACACTTCACTGATGAGGTGGTATGCTTAGGATCATGAGCAGTTCCTTTCCGTCTCCGTACTCTTCTCTTCCCATCACTCTGGTACAAGTTGATCTTGGTCTCATCTGTCCATAGGATGTTGTTCCAGAACTGTGAAGGCTTTTTTAGATGTTGTTTGGCAAACTCTAATCTGGCCTTCCTGTTTTTGGGGCTCACCAAAGGTTTACATCTTGTGATGAACCCTCTGTATTCACACTGGTGGAGTCTTCTCTTGATTGCTGACTTTGACACAGATACATCTACCTCCTGGAGAGTGTTCTTGATCTGGCCAACTGTTGTGAAGGGAGTCTTCTTCAACAGGGAAAGGATTCTTCGGTCATCCACCACAGTTGTTTTCCATGGTCTTCCGTTCTTTTGGTGTTGCTGAGCTCACGGGTGCGTTCCTTCTTTTTGAGAATGTTCCAAACTGTTGTTTTGGCCACGCCTAATGTTTTTGCTATCTCTCTGATAGGTTTCTTTTGTTTTTTCAGCCTAATGATGGCTTGCTTCACTGATAGTGACAGCTCTTTGGATCTCATCTTGACAGTTGACACCAACAGATTCCAAATGCAAATAGCACACTTGAAATGAACTCTGGACCTTTTATCTGCTCATTGTAATTGGGATAATGAGGGAATAACACACACCTGGCCATGGAACAGCTGAGAAACCAATTGTCCCATTACTTTTGGTCCCTTAAAGGGGCATTATGGAAGTTTGACAGCCAAAACATGTGTAGAAATAATAAATGTCTTCTTCATACATTCTCCTGCAATGCCCTGGTCCTGTAGAATGAGCCCTGGCATTTTTACTGTGATTGCCTGTTTTTCTGTAAAATCACAGAAAAAGAGAGATGCTCGGGTCGAGCAGGCTGCTTCATGCGCGTTCACGCTCAGGCATCGCCCGTAGCATTTGCTATCCGTAGCTTTAGCAGCAGAGAGAGGGGCAGTGCCAACTCAGCGACTTTGTCGCTGTTCCTAACGCCTAGTGACAAAGCTAGCTACATTTCTGAGGACCCTTAGCTACTTTCTTCTAGCTATTTCCTGCAAATTAGCAACAGAATAGCCATTTTCGCTTCGAACCGTTCTTTGGTTTGATGTTGTTTCAGGTGTATAAGATATAAAAGTTACAGATACTGTGAATATTACTAGAGTGTAGCTCACCTTGTAAGATGTCTGACTCCCATGCAGAAGACCTGGGTTTGATTCTGGGTGTGAACATAGTTTATTTAGAGTTTTTTTTTTACATTAATGGTTTATTTTTTTACAGTAAGCTGCTCAAATTTTTATTTGAGACTCGCCGAACGGCATTGAATTCACAGATAAAAAAGATGTGGGTTCAACTTTCATTTTGGAACAATTTTTCAAGCAAGGAAAGGGAATGATCTGAGCATGCAGGAGGACTGACCCATCATAAACCTTTGTCGGCTGTGCTGAAGAGAAAGGTACAGAACCAAATTATTTAATTAATTAGTTGCGCATTCTCCTGTCCTCTGTCCTCCGCCCCCCCCCCCCCCCCCCCCCCCACACACACACACACACAAGGGACTGTCTTAGCTGTTATTTTCGTTAAGGAGTGTGCACGTACAGCATGCGCGCCTCATGCACGAGCCTACTATTGAAGCTGCCGTTACGCTTTTGGCCTGAGGGGGCAATCGCGAGCATAAAAATTCAAAACTCCGTAAAGTCCCTTTAACAAGTGGGAGGCACATATGCAAACTGTAATTCCTACAACGATCACCTGATTTGGATGTAAACAGTTTGCAGTTAAAGCACATCTTGTTTGTTTCATTTGATATCCATTGTGGTGGTGTATAGAGCCAAAAATGTTAGCACTGAGTCGATGTCCCAATATTTATGGACCTGACTGTACATACATATATATATATATATATATATATATATATATATAGGACTACACTGACACACCAGCTATTATTGCTCTTCTATTATTATAAAGCTCGTGATAAGACATACCTGTCAATGGCTCGGCGAGCCCCGATGACCGATGTCATACCACTGGGACATACCAATATGATCTCAACACTACCACGGTATGGGTGAGTTATCGTCATGGTAACAGTCACATGCTCCAGCGTCTCCATCCCGGATTGTTTCAAATCATCCGCAGAGACTGAAGGAGAAGATTCAGCAGATCTGAAGGTTATGTGGATATCGTCTTTCTCTGATTTAATTTCCAGAAAAAAATAATCTCTAACAAATAAAGGATGAAGTTCCCGAAGAAACTTCCAAAGTGTGGTAGGAGGTGGAGGAAGAGAAAAAGAGGAAGAGTTAAGAGTGGAGGGAATCAGTAGAGCTGAGGAGATTTTTTTTAAAAAAAATAATAAACTTAATTCATTCATTGTCTAAACTTTTTGTCCTCGGTGGGTCTCAGGGAGCACGTGTTTTCATGGATACATGCTCTGGGTGTTTGGGAGGAATCCAGAGTACTCGGAGAAAAGCCACACACGCGCATGCTAACCACATGCAGGTTTTGAACATACAACCATCTTGCTGTAAGAATGACAACATACATCTGTTCAGTGCAATTGTGTGATGACACAAATCAAGTTTGATGCAATTGTGACCTTGATTTTAGAAGTTACTGTAGTTTGATTGTATCAAGGGGGCGCGGTCTTTAGGGTTGAGCATTAATTGAATTTGAACAACTCCCATTCCGGTTCCAGTTCCTTGTTTTGAATCCAGTTCCTATCGATTCCCAGTTCCGATTTTCTCAAGAGGCTGGGTCTAAAACCTTTCCATGTTTTAAATGAGCTAGCTAACCACAGATCTTACTTGATGAAATAATCTGAACCTCAACATGAATTTTAATTCTATGAAAAATAACGTCTTTCATTTAGACATAAACATGTTTTCAAGAAAGAAAGAAAAAGACTCGCAGCACAACCAGTGTGTTTGTTTCTGACCACAACCAAAGTCTGGGAACTGAGGACGCCTCTAGGATGAGAGGCAACATGTCTTCAACATAACCAGAAAAGTCCAGCTGTTTTCTTCTTAAACTCCCAGGATGATCGTGTCCAGGATGACTGAAAATCGGCACCAACATGTTGCAGAAAATGACTGTAAGGAAAACTGAAGCTTAAATATGTCAGGAAAAATCTAACATTGCAGTCTGATAGAAAATCCCTACTGCTACTCATTCTAAACATTTTGAATTGAGATGCACTATATAAAAACGTATTAATTCTCTGTGAGGGCTGGGGAAAGCATCTCACCAAAGTCTTTCTTTAATAGGCCAGATTGGTTGGTGCCCACCTGGATACCTGGTGCCCTACGCACAGTGTGTGATGCGTGTGGGCCGAGCACCGATGCGTTGGCCTTAATGTTGTTGTGGAGGATGAAGCCACATCAATTTCCTAAACAGTGATATTTATTCCTCCGAATAAACATAAGTTCTGGCTGTAATTATGATTTTTCAGTATGACTCAGAAAAACTGATCCTTTTGCTTCTTGTAGCTGAATATTTGATCATTTCTAATGAAAATCCCTGTTTAGTTGTGTCCTTTTCTGTGCTTCAGACCAGCGGTAGCCTAGAAACATCCTTCTGTCTGCAGGCAGATGGGACCAAGGGTACAGTACAGTTCTGTGTTCACATGGCATGCAGAAAATCTGAAAAGCTTTAGGACGACACATTCTCTAGTACAGGAGCCAAAACACAAATGCTGCAACAGGTACCGAATCTTGTCAGAGAAAAACCTTAAACACTGTCAGCTACTTAAACCCCACCGAGGGCAGACCGAAGCGGGCCGAGGACACCTTTAACCATAAAATATAGAAACTTGTGATTTCACTCGGTCTTGAAAATATTTTCAGAAAATATTTGCCAATAACAGCCAGCAGAGTTGGTTTGTGCTAAAAACCTTGTTACATCTGACAAAACACACACACACACACACACACACAGAAGGAAGAGAAAGTTTAGGGGAGGACAGGAAAAGAGAAAAAAGACGGAGATGTTTTTGCTAAAATTAGATCGAGTAGCAAAAAAAAAAGAGAAAGTGACAGAAAATGAGAAAATAACAGAAGTGAACACAAGTGAAGAGGAAAGAGAAGGAATGGGGAGGAAATGGTGGGCAAAAAAACAACAGCCCACAGAAGCGAACGCTACCAAATAAGGGCAGGAAGAGAGGAGCAGGCATGCGAGGTGGGGTTGGGGGATGTTATGCAGGCGATGTGAAAACTCAACAAGAGCTGACAGATAAACAGAAAACAGTACCATTCAAGCTCCGCAACAGCTCGCTGGGATACGTCAGGATGGGCATCTCCTCCTGGAATACGGAGCTCTGGTAGGAGACGAGGAACGGCACCGACTCCCACACCTTAGACACACCAGCAGGAGATGTGATGTGGTTTATGCATGAAACAGCTGAATCTCTTCAGCGCTGCGGTGCTCGTGTACCTTGGCAGCATTAACAAGCCTCCAGGCGTTGAGCAGACCAAAGCCGTGTTGGTGGCTGTGATGAAAACCAGCTCCATTCACTCTCCAGTCAGCACTGCTATCACACTGTTGGATAAACACACTCGGCAGGTTCAGTAAGCAACTGAATGAAAGAGTTAGAGTCCAACAATCAGAAGGAGCTGTCAGAATAAACTCACACAGCAACAATTTGATTGTTGTGAATATTTGAAGAACGAAAGCTTACAGGGCAGGAGCTCAGTCTGAAATGTTTAGGAACAGATCTGGATCACTATTTGGCAAGAAACTGGTGAGTTTTATCTTTTTCCTGCCTGTACAGGGTATCAGCAGGTGGTAAGGGAGCCAAATTTAAGACTTTTTAAGGCCACTTTGACCAAATTTAAGCTATTTTTTAAAATTAAATTTAAGCTATAACTTCCAGCTATTGCCTGGAAGCGGTGCTAACCACGTCACAAACGTGGGATTAGCCATCCAGTTACCATTAAACTTGCACTTCCCCATGGTGCAAGCTCCCACTAGCTCTTCCAGCTAATGTGCTCATCTTCAAATAGCCCCCTTTCACAACCAGCTGAATGTGTACGGTTCCGCTTACGCCAACATCGTACACAAAAAATGCTGAACACTAACTAGAAATCTACGAAAATCTTGTTTATTGGGTCTTTGGTAATTTAAGACCTTTGGAAACTGTATTTAAGGATTATTTGTCATTTTTAAGGATTTTTAAGGCCTTAAATTTGGAAAAGCAAAAGTAAGACTTTTTAAGGATTTGCGGATACCCTGATGAATTATAAAGTGTTGCAGATCAGTTATTGATATTTGTATAAATTATTTACCGTTGCAGTGTGCTGTAGATTCGGGGTCAAACTCCAAGTCACACTAGGCCGAATGAAAAATGGGGAAAAGGTTGCGGGCCAAACTCAATATTTTTTTAAAAACTGATGGCAAATGTGCACATTTTCCTTTATTTACAAATGCGTATTGTTTAACCGTTTCATTTGGAAATAAACTTATTTTTGCAATAACACTGAATGTGGAATAACCAAATTACACACGAGCAAATAAATTTGAAATAAAACACAATTCAGTAGTACTTGTTACTTATGTCTCGATAGTTTTTATTCTTTTTATTCCTTAAAAGTGTATACAGTATATTCAGCATTTCTGTATTAAATTTTAATATTTTGAATATTTGAAGAATTTCTATTTGATGTTTTCTTGTTTTATACTGACGATGTTAATTTTTTTACTCTCTTTTTTTGCTCCTGTATCAATTGTAATTACTACTGAGACAACAGGCTTTCCCCACTGAGGAACAATAAAGGGAGTTTCTATTCTATTTCTGTTTCACTCATCTACCCGTAGTATCTTAAATGAAAATGCAATATCTCACCCATTAACTTTCATGCTTTGGAGCAGAAAAGGTGCATTAAACCACAATATTTCAAGCTCAGTTTGCTCCACTTTGATTTTCTCTAATGCTCAGCCAGAAACATCTGCATCTCTGGGGTTGGGCTCTGAGCTGAGGAAGAAGTTCATCAGTGAGACTCCAGTGTTGATTTGTTCATCTGTATCAAAGGCAACAGTTGATCACAGAGATTTGTGATGCTGAACATGGAGAGCATCTGAGCAGCTTGACAGTTGTGTAAGTGTGTCAGGGAGGATAGATAAAAACTGCAGCAGCTACAGAGTCATACTCTGACTCGAGCGTGTAGCTAAACTGGAGTTAAATCATCTCAGTGTGGAAGTTCTGGTGCGCTCTCTGTAAGATGCATACAGATTACTGAGTTCCTGAAATCCCCATTTTTGGGACTCCAAGTCGACAGATGGCAGAGTAAACTTGGCGTTGAGTAGGAGGAGTGTTTTCTGTTTGTCCGAGATTGAGGAAGGTAAAGGTTGGTTTATGCTTGACGCGTCCGCGAGGTCCGCACGGTTCCGCGCGGAAAAGTTGCGTCATTTTACGTCATTTTAACAACCACGCCCCTCCACCGCGTCTCCGCACGGCCCAAGATTTCCGCAACGCGCACCTCGGAAAATTTCTAACCACGCGGACGGTCGGACGCGGAAAAACATGGCGGACCGGCACGGCAGAGGTTCGTAAATACAGACGTTTGTATGATTCAGCTCTCAAAGATCACCGTGATCAACATGTTGTTAATAATTCGTGGAGAGAAATAGCTCGCACTGTCGGAAAAGACGAGGACGCTGTTAAAAATGCTGAAATGCCATGTTGTAAACAGTAATTTCTACTTCTACTGTGGTGTAGTGTTGGATGCATGGCGTAGAGCTCCATGCTGCCCCGTTCAGTTTGGGAGAATATTGGCTCACCGCAGAGACGAGCCGCACGATCCATAAACACTGCGAGTTGTGAAGTGCGTTCCAGCCGCGAGCCACATCACCGCGCGGAAAGTGAATGCGTCAAGCATAAACCAAGCTTAATGCTGCTGAAGCCGATACTGGTAGCATGGATGCTAATGACTGTAAAAACAAAGGGGGGGGGGGTGTTTTAACTGATGCACTAATGCTGCAAAGCACTATGGGATTTATAGTCTTTGTGGCAAAATGGGCTGGCGGGCCAGTTTTAATTTATATTTGATATCACGGGCCAAATAAAAATAGACCACAGGCCAAATTAGGCCCGAGGGCCTGAGTTTGACACCTGTGCTCTAGATGGTCTAAGATGTCGTTATGCCTTCCAATCAGTTACTGTAAAGATGATGACTTAAGCGCAGGAGTAGAGACTGGAACAACTTTTCAGCCAGTACCTGTTCAGGTGCTCGTCCTACACAGGTGGCATGCTTACCTTGGTGGCGGTGAAGGCAATGATGTGTTGAACATCCCTCCAGCTAAGGCAGGGCCGGACCTGCAGCATGAGGGCCACCATTCCTGCAGCCAGGGGGGCAGCAGCAGACGTACCGGTGTGGCCCTCCGTACAGCCTGTCCCCGACTGCAAGGACCAGTCTGACGTCACCTACAGGACAAACGGTCCACTGTCAGAAACTCAACTGGGAGAGGGAACACAATTAATGATCCCCAGGTCCCTGAATACAGGGGATTAATCAGCCATTGGTCAAAATCAGCCAGTTTCCATGAAAATATGTGATCGGCAAATTCTGACCTACGTCTTTCAAAGCCGATCATACCTGTCATTTGTAGCTGGCAGAGACCTTGTGTGTGGCATCACCACCCCCCACCCCCTTTCAAAGTACGCACGCAAGTGGCAAAGGTTTATACCAAACTTTTCCTCCGTCTGAGAGAGTGATGCAAACCAGCAGGGGAAGCTCATTAAAATGCGTTAATACAGCAGCTTTAACAGGACTTTAACTCATTCACTGCCAGCCATTTCCTGATCGCTAAAGGCCTTCGCTGCCAAAGTTTCTTGCCGTTTTTACTGTTTTTTTTAAGAGTCACAGAACGTTGCGCGCTAGGAAGATGTTGACGCCAAAACAACCAAAACAAAGAGGAGGCAAGAGGAGGCTCACCTCTTACATCAGGAAGAATCCGCGCGTTTCGAGAGTTATCCATTCTTTCATAATCCGTTGTTGAATTGTGATCGGCAAAAGCTTTTCCGGTTCGCGCCTCAATTTTTTTTACAGGAACGGCCCAAAACGATCTCCTAACACGTGGATTTTCTGCTTCCTGATCATGTGACATATGCGGATGAAGATCGGCTTCAGAGCTGAGATGTTTGTTCTCTCGGCACGGGGCTCGTTCCAATGCCCACACAGTAAAAAAATGACTTTAGTCATCATTGGCAGTGAATGAGTTAAAGGTGCAGTGGGTATACAGTGAGAAAATCCCAAAGGAGTCTGATGTTTCAGGCATTTAGGCAGGAAGGTTCTACAGAAACAAGTTTCATATCCAGCTGGATGCTGGATTGTCAGTTTTCCTCCTTTCAGAATAAAGGAAGGAGGGACGCAACCAGTGAGTGTGGGGGGCGTGTCTCCTGCGAGCTAACACTACAGCACCCACTATTGTAATTTGACAATGGCCGGCAAAAAGCTCAAGAGTTGTTTTAAGTGGTTGCAGTAACCACATTTTACTACAGGATGCAATTTTAACTTCATTTCTACACAATGCACCTTTAAAAAAACAACTCTGGGTGGAGTGAGGTGAGTTTTCATTACTAGTCTCGGAGCAACAGTCAGACAACTGCCCTCGCTTTATGAGAGTGTCTGTCAGACAACTGAGCAACTAACCTGAAAAATGGTGAAGACTTTTACGCTAGATAAGCAGCCTGCTTGGTGGACGACAATGGGTTCCACCCCCTAGGATCCGCTAAGGGTAATAAAATAACATGACGACTCTGACCCTCAGGTTACTCGGCTAGAGATCTGTTATTTGCCTGCTGTTGGCAGTAACCCACGGCTTACACCTTATCCACAGAACAGTTCATTACAGAGTGGCTTTAGCACAACTCAACAGCCACAGACCAGAACCGCAAATGACCTTTTCCACCCGCTGATCTCCCCTTCAAAATAAAACTAACATTATTGTCAAACCGCTATAATAATAATAATGATAATAATAAATAAAATAATCACACAGAACACAAAGTTGAGATTGTGCGGAAAGTTCCGCTTGCATCTCGGCTCTTTCAGATGAAGAAGCAACCACAAGAAGGAAATCAACAAGGACTCACTTTTCACCCACATTTCTGACTAGGGTGGGCTATCGAGCATCGATTGGAGCCGGTTCCAACAGTTCATTTTTCCCGGAATCGTTCAGTCTTTTATTTCGATTCCTAGAATGCCGACGGAAGAGGAATCCGCGGCTGATCTCCGTGAAAAATAAATGTGATCTGCAAATTGTGATCAACGCTTTTCAGAGCTGACCACACCAGCTGTCTGTGTGCTGCAGGAGCCCCCCCTCCCCCACCCAGATATAAACAAACGCGTCTGCCGAACTCTTACTCCGTGATGTAAACTTTAACTCCTGCAGCGTAGAGGAAACGTGTTAAATACGTCAACACGGTGGATTTAATAGAAGCTTTAAAGAACAAACTCTGGACGGTGTGAGGCGAGTTTGTCTCACTGCAGAAATAAAAACACACACGGAGCGTCAGCAGTCAGACACAGCCGCTCACCAACACTCGTGTGTGTGTGTGTGTGTGTGTGTGTGTGAACATCAGAAGGCTGAACAATAACCTGTAGAATAATTAAAGTCATCATGCTAGAGAAGCTTCTCTGTGGTGGACCACACCAGCTTCTGCCACAATAAAAAAAAAATAATAATAATAATAAAAAAAACATTTTAATTTCCTTTCTGAACTATTTCTGTTGAGTTTTAATGTTTAAAATCTGTTAGGTTGTTACTGACAGCAGCTACGTTTAAGTTTCACTTCCTGTTGTGACTGAATGCTGCTGCAGCATGGAGGTGTGGTTCTCGGTCATCCTGGACATGATCATCCTGAGAGCTTTAGCTGAAAACAGCTGCACGTTTCTGGATATGTTGGAGACATTTAGCCTCTCATCCCAGGCTTCTTCCAGACTTTGGTTGTGGTCAGAAACAAACGCACTGGTTGTGCTGCAAGTCTTTTTCTTTTGTCTCCAAAACACGTTTTTGTCTAAATGAAGGTGATGTTGTTGTTCATAGAGTTAAAATTCATGTTGAGTCCTGGAGAGACTCCTGTTGGTCCACCTGAATAAGCAAACTAGAACATATCAGGACCCGCTGCAGTTTGCTTATCGCCATGGAGTTGGAGTTGAAGATGCCATCATCCAGCTGCTTCAACCAACCCACTGTCATCTGGACAAAGCAGGCAGCACTGTGAGGGTCATGTCCTTCAATTTCTCCAGTGCATTTAACACAATCCAGCCTGATGTTCTTTGCCAGAAACTCCAGAAGTCACAGGTGGGAGGCCTCAACTATCGCCTGGATTAAAGACTACCTGATAAACAGATCACAGTTTGTGGGGCTGAAGAACTGCACATCAAACCAGGCGATCAGTAACATTGGAGCACCACAGGGGACTGTACTCTCACCATTCCTTTTCACCCTGTACACCTCAGACTTCCAGTACAAGTCAGAGACCTGTCATCTACAGAAATACTCGGACGACTCTGCAGTTGTCAGGTGTATCAGAGATGGACAGGAAGCTGAGTACAGAGAGCTGGTGGAGCGCTTTGTGGCATGGCGTGGAAACAATCATCTGACCTTGAACGTGAACAAAACAAAGGAGATGATTTTAGACTTCAGAAGAAACAGGGTGGAGTCAAACACTGTTTCCATCATGGGAGAAGAAGTGGAGGTGGTTGAGGAATACAAATACCTTGGAGTTCACCTGGACAACAGACTGGACTGGAGAAAGAACAGCGAAGCCGTTTACAAGAAGGGACACAGCAGACTGCACCTCTTGAGGACGCTTAGGTCCTTCAATGTCTGTAGCAAGATGCTGCAGATCTTCTACAAGTCTGTTGTTGAGAGTGTAATCTCTTCAGCCATCGTCTGCTGGGGTAGTAGCATCAGAAGCAGGGAGCTGAAAAGGCTCAACAGCCTAATAAAAAAGGCTGGTTCTGTTCTGGGGACGACTGTGGAACCACTGGAGGAGATGATGCAAAGAAGGATTCTCCAGAGAATCAAGAAAATGATGGACAACCCTGAGCATTCTCTTCACAAGACTGTCCGACAACGGAAGAGTGTCTTCAGTCAGAGGCTTCTTCAGTTTGGCTGCAACACTGACCGCTACTGGAGATCCTTCCTGCCAACAGCCATTGTAATATACAACAACTCTTTGATGACTTGATTATTATTATTATTCTGAGCTACTACAGCAATCAATTTCCCTCCGGGATTAATAAAGTATTTTTGAATTGAATTGAATTGAAGTTAAGATTATTTCATTAAGTAGGACTTGTGGTTAGCTGGCTCATGTAAAGCATGTCATGTCTTGAAAGAATCGGAATCGGGAATCGATAGGAACCAGAATCGAAACGAGGAGTTGGAAACTGAATCGGAACAGTTCAAAATCAAACGATGCCCAACCCTTTCATTTGTACTGTTGATAACCTTTGTAATGTGTGAAGAAAGAAAGACAGGATTTGCATAGGTGATGTTCAGCTTTGCCTTTCTGCAGAGCATGGAGCCGAGTCTGTGTACAGGAAGTTGTGGTTAGGCGACTGCACTCATGCTCGGGAGAATCAAGCTGCACATTTCCTGTTGAGGAGTATAAGAGAAAGGGGTAACCTTCGTTCTTGGCCTCCTATTAAGGCTGCTGGTGAGAACCAGCACCAGGAGAGCCAAAATAGACAAGGCTTAAAGTCTCTGTCTAAAACCAAGAAATATACCAATGTACAACATCATGGGCTCTCTCTTGTGATTGGTCCTTCTTCATCCTGAAGGCAGGGAGCCTCGTGAAGCCACGGAGGGCGCTTCTAGAACAGAATGTTTTCTTAATCTAAATCTGGAACAAGCGTTATGAAGAGTAGCTGTATTGAGGAGCAGCTTTCTGGGCCAGTGTTTCAGAGGCGCTGCATTTATTTATACGCATAGCCATATCTGTATAAATAAATACTAGGATAGAGGGCAAAACATAGAACTCCACGTCTTGACAGGAGCTGACCATCACCGGTAAGTGAGAAGCTCGGAAGTGCTCAGAGGCTCAGGAGAGGATTTGATCTACCCAACAGTAGGGGATGTAAATGCTAAAATTTGTTATATCTTAATGAATATTCTTACTTCATTTGCATAGAAAACTTAGAAAACTTTTACTATTACTTACTTTTGATTTTATATTCCTTTCATTTGTTGCTCCTTAATCGTTAACATTTTATTACACTAACCTTTGACCTTTACCTTGATGCATGTTTTAACGTTTAGAATTTTAAACCTGTAACTCTCAACATTTTGATTGCTTGATTTTGAATTGCAGTTTTCCATTGACATTTTTTCATTGAGATATTTCTTGACTCTATAACAGGGGTGTGAAACTCAAACTCACACGGGGCCGAAATGAAACTCTGGGACGGAGTCGAGGGCCAAACTTAATATTTTTTGAAAAAGTGACGGCAAATTTGCACGTTTCCTTTATCAACATGTATGCAATTTTGAACCTTTAAATTTGGAAACAAACATATTTCTGCATTAACACTGAATGTGGAATAACCAAATGACACACGAGCAAGTCCGTTTTAAATAAAAGGCATCAGTGGTATTCATTACTTATGGTATAATCAGCATTTTTAAAATCTATTCAGGATTTATGTTGTCTTGTTTATTCATTTTTCTTATTTTTTATTCTCCTTTTTTCTCCTGTAATAAGTGTCATCGCTGCTGTGACGTCTAGCTTTCCCCACTGAGGAACAATAAAGGGATTTTCTATTCTATTCATCTATCTGCAGCCTTTCCACTTCCTGTTTACTGTAGGTTAAATCTTTTCTCACGGGCCAACAACAAAATAAAAATATCATTTTATCTTAAATGAAAATGCAACATCTCACCTGTTAACTTTCATGTTTTGGAGCAGAAAAAGAGCATAAAACCAACATATTTAAAGCTCAGTTTGCTCCACTGGTTTACTGTGATGCTCACCTGTTCCAGCCAGATACCTGCATCATGGGGTTGAGCTGAGCTGAGGAGGAGACTCCTGTTGTTTTGTTCATCTTCATCATAATAATGACAACATTAGATGACAACAGGTGCTCACACAGGTTTGTACTGATGAACATGTCTGAGCAGCTTGACCGCGTTGTTGTGTGTCGGGGAGGAAACACAACGACAGCAACCACAGTCATGCTGGTTTGAGCGTGTCGCTGTTCGCTGGAGTTATATCAGCTCTGTCTGGACGTTAGTTTGAAAAATTTCTCTTTCAGTTGTGAACATGTTACTGAGCAGCTAGAATCTCCGTTTCTGGGCTTCAGCGTCAGAAAACAGCTGAGTGAACTCGGCGCTGAGTGAGAGGAGTGTAGTTTGTCCGAGACAGCGGAGCTGCAGACACCGGCAGCAGGTGCTGGAAAAAACACAAAGAGGGGGCGGTTCAGCTCCGCGCTGACGCCGCAAAGCATCATGGGAGTTGAAGTCTTTGCAGTAAAATCGGCCAGCGGGCCAGTTTTAATATATTTTTGATATTTATCTCGCGGGCCACATAAAAATGCTCCGCGGGCCGCATCTGGCCCGCGGGCCTTGAGTCTGACATATGTGCTGTATAATCTCATTTCTAATATTTAGACATTATAAAGTAACAAAACTCACAATAAAAATAAAATATACGGATTTATACCGCAGCCTTTTGGCTGATTTTGTTGTGTTAAAACCTTTTATTCATTAAAAGGGTTGCCTCATTAGCACCCAAAACAGAAAGCATCGTCTCCTGTAAGTCATTTGACTTATCTTAACCAACAATTCTATTGCTGAAAGCTCCTTTCTCATAAGGGGAGCTCCAGCACAGACCAGTAAAAACCCTTTACTCGTAATCCCAGAAGCCGGCTGGGATCAACGTTTGGTTTGTAGTGTAATATGAGGCATTCAGCAGGTTTGCTTTGTTTATCGCTTTAGCACTGTCAGAGTGCTAATGTTTTTAGCAGTTAGCTTAGTGTTGTAATGTGGCGTTTATAGGGCTTGTGATCATGTCCATCCCGTTGGAGGCGTGTGAGTCCTTACATGTTGCTTGTTTCTACTGTAAACAGCGCTCAGGCTCGTTCTTGCTGCTTAAATTAATCTATTATTCATTTGTCTCATTCATTGCTGTGTTGTGGGGTGACACGTGATCACCAGGGGAATAAAGGTGGAAAACCAGCAAACTTTTCACCGTTTTCCTGCTTGGGGGCAAAAACACAGAGACCAAGTATCTAGCATAACAAAGACTTGTTGGATCGCTGCTGTAAGGCGACCAAACATCACCTTCTGGAGTATTTTCATTCAGGTAAGTTACAGATGGTGTACGTTTTTATACATCGTTTATTTCCTTCAACCGCAACACGCGCACACACACACACACACACACACACACACACACACACACACACACACAGAGGCTACACGCACATACCGGTGGGCTAATGCGGCTGCACTGACACGCACACAACTTCTCCTGCTACACTTCTTCTGTAGGATGGCAAATTCGATTGTTCTATTAGAAAAACCAACAAATAAATGTTTACCTCTCATCCAGATGTTTACATCCGCTCACATCACAAACAAGGAAGCTGAAAATGTCGGTTATGCAGAACTGCAGCAGTAACAATATGTCATGGGTGCTCCGGTCTTAGGTCTTTCATATGGATCAAAACCATTAATAACGCTGATTTTTGTCCACATACCGGTCCCCGACGTCTTTATATAATGTACTCCTGTATTATCCTCATCGTTTTGGGGATTTTATAATGTTAACACTTTCTTTCACCCAAATCAACTTCTCCTCTGCGACAGTACCGTTTGTTTCCAGTTTGTTTACACTCGTCAAGATTCCAACATGGCCGCACACATCCCAGAATGCTATGCGTATTCACATGTGACCAAAAGTCCTTATTAAAATCAAACAAATGTACCCGAAATTTGAGTTTCAAAAGGCATAAAAAGTTAGTTACTAGTAAATCCTAGCACAAACTGATCGTTAGCATTAGCGAAAGCACTACTACCATGAGCTAATGAATAAAATAGCACAACTCACTATTTACCCGAGCAAAAACAAAATGATCGTCATGCAAAGATTCTCCGGGTCACTAAAAGGTGAACCAACCTGAAATAAAAAAGCTGCAGGCTTCCAGGCTTGTAAAAGGCTGTCGTTTGGTTTGCAGTGATATGAGGATGGCAGCACACAGTAGTTTGTTGCTGACCGCTTCAACGCTGGGTAGATCCTCCAGTGCATGAGAAGAGCGACGTTTAAAACTATATGGGTCGCAACCTAAAGGAAGATGAATTTTTTCACGATATCTCGTCTGTGCCAGCTCATTTAAAGCCTCTGTGAAATCGCTCTCATCCATCGTGCCGTGTTGTATCTCTGTGTTTTGCTGCTCGTTTCTCCACCTTGCCACACGTAGAACAGCACAATACGAACCATTGTTCTCTGCATTGTTCTAATATTACTGTTAAATCCATTCAGTCACTGACTGACTCAGTTGGAGCTAATTTGTCTGTGTGATGATCTCATAGATGATAAGTTGGGAGGGATCGCAACCTTTTCTTCTGCCAGCTTGGCAGATGGACGAGACGTGGTTCTGACTTTGTCTTTTAGCAGCTTTTGGAGTCTAAAATATTTCCTCACAGGAGACTTGAAGCACTTCCTAGTTGGAAACGGAGCGGTCCCGGTTGTTGTTGATGCTGGTTCTGTTGTGTGCATTCATTCAGTGTCACTTTGGTCTGCGAATGTGGTTTTTTTAACTAGCGGCGTTGGAGACGTCTTTATGGTGGGTTAGAAGCAACGTGTCAAACTGGTTAATCCTTGCAACCTAAGTCACAAGTGATGACATCCACATAACAGGCTGAGTTACCATGGTGAAGCCCATCAGACAAACATCACATAGAAACGTTGTAATGCAGAGTGCCTCACTCTATTTTACAGTCTGAGGATGTATTTAACGTTAGTCTAAACTCATTTAAGAGTTCACCGGTGTGTTCAGAAGCAGCTTCAGACCACATGTTTACAACCATGATTTAGTCTGACTGTTTACAAACACAAAAAACCTAAACGGTTACTTTTATCAGGACTTATGTAGCTATTTCAAAACACAGTCTTTTACTAGGAAACTACTGTGTCACTCTGCTAATCTTGTAACAGATCATGTAATCAACTTTGTGTTGGTTAAATATCTGTATCCATCTATCCATCTTCTTACGCCGATCAGAGGTCGGGTCACAGGGAAGCAGCCTTCCCTCTCCCCAGTCACTCAGGCCAGCTCCTCCGGGGAATCCCAAGGTGTTCCCTGGCTGAGAGACATGGTCTCTGTCCTGGGTCTCCTCTTGGGTCTCCTTTCAGTTGGGACGTGGCCAGAAAACCTCACAAGGAAGGCATCCTGACCAGATACCCGAGCCGCCTCAACTGGCTCCTCTCGATGTGGAGGAGCAGCAGCTCTACTCCGAGCCCCTCCCGGATGACCGAACTTTTCACTTTATCTCTAAGGGAGAGCCCAGCCACTCCGCATGGAAAACTCATTTCTGCCGCTTGTATCCACGACCTCGTTCTTTCGGTCACTACCCAAGACTCGTGACCATAGGTGAGGGTAGGAACGTAGATTGACCGGTAAATCGAGAGCTTCGCCTTCTGACTCAGCTCTCTCTTCACAACGACGGGCCGGTACAAAGCCTGCATCACTGCAGATGCAGCACCAATCCGCCTATCGATCTCACGCTCCAGTTTTCCCTCACTCATGAACAAGACCCCGAGATACTTAAAACTCCTCCACTTGAGGCAGGACCTCATTCCTGACCTGCAGAAGACATTCTACCCTTGTCCAATGAAGACCATGGTCTCGGATTTAGACGAGCTGATTCTCCAACTCCATTGTTTGGAGAGTTGTGTGAGAAAACAAACAAAAAATAATAAAGTGACTTTTTTGTGGATTCTGACATGTTTTCGTGGGATGTAGTCACAGTGAGGCTACTACTATCTCTTCATGTTCTGGCTGATGGTGTGCTGACAGAACTTCATCATTAATCAAACTCACAATGCTCCTCAGCTTAGCCCCCCCGCTGCTGAACGTCACAGCAAGCATGGACGCACACTCCTCTGCGTAGAAGGGCATCCGGCCTTCCTCATCCACTGCTCCTGCAATTATGAACGCACACAGAGTGAGCTTCTCTGCACCCAGCAACACAAATTACTTCATTTAGACCAGGGGTGTCAAACTCATTTTAGCTCAGGGGCCACATTGAGGGAAATCTAGTCCCAAGTGGGCCGGACCGGTAAATAAAAAACAACTTCAGATTGTTTTCTTTGTTTTAATACAGTCAATATAAAACAAAGCTGGAGCCTGAGGACAGTGTAGTACAAGTACAACACCTGAAGTGTACTTGAAAATTTGAAAATAAATAAATAAATAAATAAATAAACATTCCTTAGTGATTCAAAGAGCTTACAGATCACATGGCTAGATCAGTTTCATGCAGCACTTCAAATATATTTGACTCATTTTACTTTACATCTTTTAGCTTTCACCTGCACATCAATATCAGGAGTCACATCCTGAGTGGCGGCCAACTTCAGGATGTGATTCAAGTTCTTGTGTGAGCCTTGAGCGCAGCTTTGTTTTATTTATACTCATTACAGAGGAAACTTGCTCACAAAGATACGTTTATTTTCACTCTACATTGTAAAGTATGAAAATAAAGTTTACACAACCATCTCGCGGGCCGGATTTAACCTGTTTGCGGGCCAGATGCGGCCCGCGGGCCGCATGTTTAACACCCCTGATTTGGACAGAGTCAATCCAATCCAATCCAATTTTATTTATATAGCGCATTTAAAAACAGCATGTCAGCTGACCAAAGCACTGCACGGAGTTAAACCTAAAAAGGCATTCAAATTCACATACATACACATTAAACACAGATAAAAACTGTCATAAAATAGAAACACCTACAATCAAAACAAAAGTTTAAAACAGCCAATAGAAAGAGAAGTCAATAAAAACAGAAGTCAGTAAAAACAGAAGAGAGTCACAGCATAAAAGACCGATCATTGACCAAAAGCTAAATTTTAAAAAATGTGTCTTCAGGCTGGATTTAAACTGTGACAGTGAAGAAGCCTGGCGGACCACCAGAGGGAGTGTGTTCCAGAGTCTGGGAGCAGCAAGGCGAACGCACGCTCCCCACGAGCTTTATACCTCATTGTAGGGACTTTGAGCAGTAGATGATCAGTCACACACAACAGAGTGGGTCTTACCAACTGTGATGGTGTAGATGGAGTTGGCGTAGCCATCATAGTTGCAGTTGTCATTGTATAGACCTCCGTTACCACTGGCAACCACAAAGATGCTGCCAAAGCCCCGTCTTCCTGCGATTACCCCGTGCTGCAAGGCAGCCTGTGGAAGGACAATCTTAATTAAAGCTGCAAGCGGAGGCGTTCGGCCCTTGCAGCAAAGCTGCTTGCCCTCCGTGCGCACCCCCCTCCACTCCATCCCCGACGCTCTCCCAACCCATGGCCCTGAAACCGGTGGTGCACGAGCACCCATGCACGCCAGACTCCAACGTGCATTTAACTGCGATCACTGTGAGCTGTCAACTCAATCTGACTCAACGTTTCCTTCTAGCCTGCCAACAGTCCCCACTAAAAATGTTTTACATTAGCAAAATATTCCAGCTTCGAAAGAAACTCTGTAACGTAATTGGAACAAAATGGCAGACTTCCTGTGGGATATGGCATGGCTCCATGAGACTTCTTTGTAGGCCCAGGCACAATACATAAGTGGAAAATTTCAGTTAAGAAACTAAGCCACGACCACCAGATTTTCAGGGTAATATTTACTGAGGTTTGGATTTGTATCAATCACCTGAATTGTTATATCGATAACGTCAGAATTAAGGAAATGAGAGGCAAATGAAATTCCATGGCGGGATATAAAAATTCGCCATGCCCCCAAAGCCTCACCCTTTTTTGAAACCTGCCAGGTCTGGACACCAAGTGACCCTAACATGTCTACTTGTATTTGCCAGATATTCATGTTGATTAGGTTAAAGGAGTGAATTTGGGAGCTTTGAAAGTAAAGCATGGTGTGGTGACAGGTCAATGTTTGAGGCCTAGCCACGCCAAACACAGTTAGACTTATGGAAAATCCATAGGCTCAGTTTTGCCCGCTTTGTCTTAAGAGTATTTAGCAGAAGTTTAAAGGCGTTGGGGGTAAAAGGCGCTTGGGGATTGACGTACCTTTGAAGTGTGCAAAAAACACAAAATGGCATACTTGGACCAAAATGGCCGACTTCCTGTGGGATATGGAGCATGGCTCAGAGAGTGTTTTTTGTAGGTCCTAAGACATCACATAAGTGTACAAAATGTCACAATCCTCAGTCAAAGCATGACTTGGGGCTGACATTTTTATTGGACCTAGGGGGCGCTAGTGAAGAAACTAAGACACGCCCACCAGATTTTCAGGGTAATATTTATTGAGGTTTGGATTTGTATCAATCACCTGAATCATTGTACCGATAACATCAGAAATGAGGAAATGAGAGGCAAACGAAAGTCCATGGCGTGATGTCAAAATTCGCCAAGCCCCAAAAGCCTCGCCTTTTTTTTTTTTTTAAACCTGCCAGTACTAGACATCAAGTGACCCTAACATGTCTACTTGTATTTGCCAGAGATTCATGTTGATTAGGTTAAAGGTGTCAACTTGGGAGCTTTGAAAGTAAAGCATGGTGTGGTGGCAGGCCAAAGTTTGAGGCCTAGCCACGCCCACACCGTTAAGAGTTTTGGAAAATCCGTAGATTTAGTTTTGCTTGCCTTGTCTTAAGAGTATTTAGGAGAAGTTTAAAAGCAATGGAGGTAAAGGGCGCTTGGGGATTGACGTACCTTTGAAGTGTGCAAAAAACACAAAATGGCGTACTTGGACCAAAATGGCCGACTTCCTGTGGGATATTGAGCATGACTTCCAGAGGGTTTTTTGTAGGTCCTGAGACACTACATATATAGCAGAAGTTTAAAGGTGATCGGTGAAAAGGGCGACGGGGCATCATTCTCCAAACAACGTGTGCGAAAACCACTAAATCGAGTATTTGACCAAAATGGCCGACTTCCTGTGAGACTTTGTGCTTGGCTCCAAGAGACTTTTTTGTATGTCCTGAGACACCACATTAGTGTACCAAATTTCGTAATCTTCAGTCAAAGCACGGCTTAGGGCTGACAATTTAAATGGTCCTAGGGGGTGCTATTTAAGAAAATAGGCCACGCCCACCAGATTTTCACATCAGATTTTTTGGGGGTCCGGATTAGGATCACTCATCAGAAGTTTCGTGGCGATATCTTTAGAAATGACGAAATGGGAGGCAAACGTATGGCCACGGCAGTACGCCTGACTTCGCTGCGCCTCCACAGCCCCGCCCTCTTTTGAAAATTACCATAAAGTGACGCCAAGTCACAACCACTTGTCTTGAGTTACCAGCTACAAATTTGTGGTGATTAAGTGAAATGGAGCGATTTGGGACCTATCAAAGTAAAACCTGACCTTTTTGGTCCTGAGGGGGCAGGGCTTATGTGATGCCATCCTCCGACCATTCAATTTCGTTTGTGGCTGGATGTAAAATGACCACAGAAGTTTTATAACTCTATTCTATTCGAGTATGAAGTTATAGCCATTTTATATTTTTTTGGCGAGTAGTTGAAATTCGAGGCCTGGCCACGCCCCCTCAGCCTATACAAAAAGTCAGTTTTATTTTTTCTATTTGATCGCCCATCCCTTCTGAGCGATTTCCCACAACTTTCGAGATGATCCTTCGAAAAATGATCGAGTAAATCAATCAGATGAGGACCCTAGAAGCGGCCAAAACGGGGTCAAAATCGCCAATCCAATCCAAAATGGCCGACTTCCTGTTTGATGTTGACCATGGTTGCAAGAGGCTTTTCTGTGCGGACTGTTGAGTACTACAAGTGTACAAAATTTCATAACTGTACAACAAAGTATTATGGAGGGGGGTATTTTTCCACTACGATTTTTTGGGACCTTTAAAATACAAAATTTTTCACCACACCTGACATGTGTGCAAAAATTCCTGAGTTTTCGGGTACATTAAGGCCTTCAAAAAGCCAATTTACTTGGAGGAAGAAATATAAACAGAGCAGATACAAAAGGACTTTGCAGCGCTTTCACTGCTAGGGCCTAAAAAGACAAAAATAAACGGAGCAGTTACAATAGGCCTTCGCAGCTTCGCTGCTCGGGCCTACTAAAGGTTTCTTGAAGGAATTTAACAAAAAAAAGTGGCAACTTGAAACTAATCCACACACACTGCACCTCCAGATGTCTTCAGAATTAGAAGTAATGTGCTGCCCTGTGCAGGACAGAGAGAGAACTGCAGACACAGTGTCTCACCTTGCCCAGAGGATGTGGTCCATCAACAGTATGCCCGTCATCATCTGGACCCCAACTACATCAGAATCCCAGAAAGACTATTTCATATGATTCTGCAGTGACATATGAGCGTTAAACAGTCTGATGACTGTTGTTACCTGCAGCTGTAGATGTCGTTGACTTGGTAGTGCTTGTTGAAGGCTATGGCCTCTAAAATGTCAGTCAGGGGGCCATCCAGGACTCGGATACCTACGCAGGAACAAACACACATTTTATGTCAAAACCATTTTGCTTTTAGGAAAACACGAATTGCTGTTGGCTGTTCTGTACCTGCCACCTTGCTGCCATAGGCCACGCCCACAGCACAGAAGCTGTTGTTGGGAACCGCAGCAATCTCCCCAGCACATCGAGTCCCGTGGTGGTTATCACTCTGGACGTCTGGGTGAGGCATCGGGTCTGGATCATTAGAGTTGAGGTCGTAACTGCCCTCTGGATTCTGGAGGATACAAAATCAATTGAGCATGTTGTTTACATCATCCTGATCTCCCCTGGTCAAAACCAGTCGAACTTGACATGTGGTGGAACTACCCACATGAAGCTAATCATTAGCATTAGTAACTCCACCGCACTGCTGAACTCCTCCAGGCTTGTGTTATTTATGGAGATAAAACATCAACGTTGCAAGTCAGTGGTTGCGTTGCTGTTAGCCAATCAAAAGCGAGATGTCCAAATATCATGAATTAACACTCCAAAACCTGCTGTCTGAAGCATGGACATGTGTAACGTCCAAAAAAAGGGTCCATTTTGACCTATATATTGACCGACAGTGACCGGTCACCTACAGACATAAGTCCACTTTCAAGGTGGATTTTCTACTCTATCTTCTAACACCCAGAAGACTCTGCAGTGCTTGTTGACAGTCCATGAGGACAAGATTGTCAAACTTATCTCAGACTGCTGGATTCCACACTCAGAATGAAAAGTGAACTTTTACAACTCATAAATTATATAATTATATGGTTGAATGAACCAGATGTTATAAGAAATGTTTGAATAATCTGTGCCTAATTCAGTGAAGTTGAAATGAATATTGTCTTACAGTTACAATAACCCATTTATACCTTATGATCAGTACTGTTTTATTTAACAAGTTACTCATTATCTACACTCATACACGATGTTCATTAAATGCAAATTAAGGTTAAGGCCATCTCACATAATGTTTAAAGATTCTTTATCCACAGAACTAGAACAGCTTGTATCTGGAAGATGTGGTTTTCTGAGGGATGTTTGGTAACGCCTACCACATGTCAAATTCTGATTTGCAGAAATCATAAACTCTAGATTATTAAAACTAGAGTGACTTCCAGAGTTATTCAGTTTCGAGCGGAACTCCGAAGTGGCCAATTCGGAACCAGCCTCTCTTTGACAATCAATCAACCTGCTTGCACGCTGCAAGCTGACACAGCCAGACGGCTCCTTAAGAGCTATATTCACTTTGGACGCAGATAAGCATTGCAGCTGCTGTTGTGACCTGGAGACATCCCAAGGCTGGAACTGGTCGCACTGCAGTTATTTTACAAACTTCGGTGCCTTGAGGTCCACCCGACTTCCCGACATTATGGATCTGACCGGGGGTCTCCAATCAGGGTTTGTAGACACAACAGATTGCGTCTGATGTTGTTTTATTAATAATCAACTCTCTAGTTTATAGCAGACAACAAATTCTTTACACCCAGAATTCACAATCTCTTTCAGATACAAAGGTTCTGATACACATCAACTTTACACCACACCACCTACAACACAAATTACATCACTGCATATACACTCCATCACATATTATTCATAGCTTGTCATGTATTATAATTAGTTTAGAAAATAATAAAATTCCTTTTAACTATATACTTGACTCTGTCTGAATTAATACAAATTGTGTTTATGGTCCCTGAACAAGCAAAGAATCCTTAACTCCTCTGGTTAAACATTCAAAGACTTATCCGGTTGATATTTCATATTTAAATGGAATCATCACATCTTATTGGTCATAATTAAATATGCAGTTGTTACGCTGTAAAGTTTAACACTACACATGAAAATCAGACTAAAATCAATATTGCAATAAATTTTGAAGCACATGCAGTAAAGATATCAATCACATTTATAGCTGGGCGACATTTATTTACTCATTTATTCTTTATTTAAAGAGGAAGGTCCCATTGAGATTAAAAACCAAATTTTCAAGACAGTCCTGGCTAAGAGGCAGCAAAAGTTAGCGTTACACATTTTTTAGTTACACAGACATGCTATGTACAAAATTACAGAAGGCAGTAATTAACCACAGTGTGAAACACTGTTGTTAACCCACTGTAAAGACCACAAAAAATTATAATATATATATATATATATATATATATATATATATATATATATATATATATATATATATATATATATATATATATATACACACCTGCAAAAGATTCCTGATGCTTTTAAAAACTCCCAGCCTGGTTCATTACTCAAACCCGCAATCATGGGTAAGACTGTTGGCCTAACTGCTGTCCAGAAGGCCATCATTGACACCCTCAAGCAAGAGGGTAAGACACAGAAAGAAATTTCTGAACTAATAGGCTGTTCCCAGAGTGCTGTATCAAGGCACCTTAGTGGGAAGTCTGTGGGAAGGAAAAAGTGTGGCAGAAAACACTGCACAACGAGAAGAGGTGACCGGACCCTGAGGAAGATTGTGGAGAAGGACCGATTCCAGTCCTTGGGGGACCTGCTGAAGCAGTGGACTGAGTCTGGAGTAGAAACATCCAGAGCCACCGTGTACAGGCATGTGCAGGAAAATGGGCTACAGGTGCCGCATTCCCCAGGTCAAGCCACTTTTGAACCAGAAACAGCGGCAGAAGCGCCTAACCTGGGCTACAGAGAAGCAGCACTGGACTGTTGCTCAGTGGTCCAAAGTACTTTTTTCAGATGAAAGCTAATTTTGCATGTCATTCAGAAATCAAGGTGCCAGAGTCTGGAGGAAGACTGGGCAGAGGGAAATGCCAAAATGCCTGAAGTCCAGTGTCAAGTACCCACAGTCAGTGATGGTCTGGGGTGCCATGTCAGCTGCTGGTGTTGATCCACTGTAGGGCAGGGTCAATGCAGCTAGCTATCAGGAGAATTTGGAGCACGTCATGCTTCCATCTGCTGAAAAGCTTTATGAAGATGAAGATTTCATTTTTCAACACGACCTGGTACCTGCTCACAGTGCCAAAACCACTGGTAAATGGTTTACTGGCCATAGTATTACTGTGCTCAATTGGCCTGTCAACTCTCCTGACCTGAACCCCATAGAGAATCTATGGGATACTGTGGAGAGAAAGTTGAGAGATGCAAGACCCAACACTCTGGATGAGCTTAAGGCCGCTATCGAAGCATCCTGGGCCTCCATAACACCTCCGCAGTGCCACAGGCTGATTGCCTCCATGCCACGCCACATTGAAGCAGTCATTTCTGCAAAAGGATTCCCAACAAAGTGTTGCGAGAATAACTGAGCATAATAATTTGAAGGTTGAGTTATTTTGTATTAAAAACACCTTTCTTTTATTAGTCAGATGAAATATGCAAATTTTTTTAGATAGGAATTTTGGGTTTTCATGAGCTGTATGCCAAAATCATCAATATTAGAAACAATAAAAGGCTTGAACTACTTCAGTTGTGTGTAATGAATCTAATATTTATGAAAGTCTAATGTTTATCAGTACATTACAGAAAATAATGAACTTTTATCACAATATGCAAATTTTTTGAGAAGGACCTGTATGTGGAGCATTTCAGGATGTTTTAACCCACGTTTTGCAGCTTAAGCGCCTTTTGCAATCCTTACTAATGTGACCTTTACAAAGACATCCAAAACAGACACCATTTGTTTTCAGAAAAGTGATTTTATCTTTATGCGTTTGACTTTCAAACTCTTGACACTTATCTAGAACATGATCTCCTTTACAAAACAAGCAATTAATTTGCTCTGTGACGTTTTTTATTTTCTTGTCCTCATCATTTTTCTTTTCAGCTGCTGTCACAGAAGTTGCAAAAGAACTTTCCTTGGATCTTGAATAAGCTTGTGACTTCGGTTTTCTCGTGTCTTTGTTCATTGTGTGCACATCTTTGATGTCCCCCAAAACTGGATCTGATGCAATCTTTACTTGCTTTTCAAGTGTAATGTCCAGAAATGGTCAGTTTTCACCTACAGATTGACCTACATGCCATTGGTCAGCTGCAGACATAAATCTGCCTCTGTGCGTCTGTTAATCTTCCAAGTTGCAGGAAAAGATTCGACACTGCGTGTTTACACTCAGATTGTCAAGACTTCAACATCATGTTCCCTTTCTCAAGGTCCTTCTGTGCCAAGCCTGTCTGCTTATCTAGGCCGGACTGGAGTGTCTGTTTTCAGCTCATATGAGTTAATCATTTGTGAAATGGAATAATAATAATGTCTTGATTAATCTGTGCTTAAATCAATAAGGTTGATTAACCTGTGCTTTAAGTACTTAAGTTTGAAATGAATGTATTATTACATAGAAAGATTTATATATATGATAATCAGTAATGTTTGATATGACAAGGCAATCATCATCTACACTCAGACACAAGGTTCACTAGAGATAAATCAAAGTTAAGTTAAACGTCATGACACATAGATATTTCCTTACCCCAAATCAGAGCATCGTGATGTTCTGAGGTTCTTGGTAATGCCCCTTAACATGGCACATTCCGATTGGACAAGAAATCATAAAATGAGAATATTAAAACAGAGCTCACTTCACCGTGAGTCAGTTCTAGAGGAAGCTACGGAACGGCCGTCTGGAGCTAAACCTCTTTAACCCAGAGCATTTTTGACAAGCTGTGCAAAACCCTGCTAAAAGCTGCCTACTGCTGACACAGCGAACGGTTCCTGCAGAACAAAGCTGATACTGTTCCAACTCACTAAAGCCCCCTTCAGACAGGCCATGGAAAACGGAAATGTTCCAGACTCTGTCCGTAAGACCTTTCTGTCTGAATACAAACATCCGGATAACGTGTTCCGGAATTTATCCGGACGAAGCCCCTAGTAACAGGTCCGGACTTGTTACGGACAGGGTGGCTGATTCACACTGGTGAGGTAAAGTTCCGGACAAGGGGGAGGGGGAGGAGGAGGAGACCGGGGGACGCTGTGCACACCTAAATAACTCGCTCCTGTAGCATGCGGCGAACCACGGCAGCTCGCCTCCTACGGTACCGCCTAGACGCGCGACGGAGCGCTTCACACCGCTTCAGTGATTCCTTTAACCATTGAGCTTCATCATCCAGGTCTCTTATGCGTCTTCGTGTGCGCAGAATTATGCTTAAGCGCCTCGTGATTTTTATCTTGAGAGGCGCTATAGAAATTATATTTTCTTCTTCTTCTTCTTAACATAAGTCCGATTCTCCCCCCCGCCGCCGTCAGACATCTGGAACTTTTCCCTG